GCAGCCCCCGGGTGGACTGGCCAGCATTGCCGGGGAGAGAGGGAAGACGCAGGGGCAGGCGGGCGGGGGGTGCCTTCCCGATCCACTGGGGATGCGAGAGCAGAGCGGGGGGGACCCGCGCCGTCCTGTGAATACCTCCTTGTGATGCAGGGGCTGCGGGTGCTCAGGCTGCCCACCCCTGCTGCCTAAGGGATGGACATAGGATGCACGGAGTCCCTAGGAAAAAAAAAGGCAGCTGGAAAGTGCCAGATTCCCGGTGTCTCAATGAATCATATGTGAGGTTGCAGGCTCCCGAATGGCTAACAAAATTGATACCCCGCGAGTCTGTCTGTGGCTCCCTAAAGGAGCTGCGGCCGTTTAGGGCATATGACCCGTTACCTGGCACTGCGGAGGATTTTATCCAGAAATCAGAGCGTTTCTGTTTCCTTGGCACCCTGGGCCAGTGAGTAGTGTATTGACCTGCCAGGCACAGGTGTCCATTTCCTTGGTATGCGGGCACATTCAGCATGTTGAAGATCCTGCAACAGGACTACTTTCTAGAAATGATAGCAGCCCAAGAATTCTGTGGAACGTTTTTTTTTTTTTCTTTTACATTATTTAGTACTGATTTTTTTTTTTTTTTAACATCTTGGTAGAAGTGTGGGCGTCAATCCTCTGGAGTTTTTGAACATTTTCCTTTTCCTGCGCTTTCCTGAGGTTCATCTTCGGGAAAGAACAGGAGCTCTTTAATGTGACTTCTTGAAGCTCAGGCATTCTCATTCTGAGAAACGGTGTCCCCGAGAGCTGTTTCACGAAGCCCATTGTTTTTCGGTTACATTTGGCCAGCCTCACTCCACGCTACTTGCACCACACCAACCTCTTGTGGTTATTTGGCAGAGCTCCAAACAGAATATGGACAATTAAAGGATAGATATTTTTTCATGTCTGGTCCTTTTCAGTGGGGTTTGGCAACTACTGGTTCTGAAAGTGCATTGTGGAATTTCTAGCTTGAGTGGCAGCGGTAGCGGGGTGCTAGAGGGGAGATGCCGAGGTGCTTGACCCTCTGGGCAGGTGGAAGGAGTGTGGGCTCAGCCTCACCTTGGCTGCGGAGCCTCGGAGGGCTGGGGTTCCGCTGGAGCAGGTCGCGAAGGCTCGGGAACTCTTCGGCAACATGATGGTGGATGCACACAGCCGGCAAACGCTGGCAGCAGGATGTGTTATCGGTGTTTTTGGACAATGTGTGGCCCGAGAGAGGTAACATGTTGGTGTGTCCGCGGTAGTACGCGCCTGCCCCCTGGGTGTCAGGGCTCTGTACTCCCTTTGTTACTTTTGTAGCACTGGCAGCCAAAGAGCAGAACAGGAGATCTAAGGATGCAGGTGAAAAGAAGGGTGTAGAAGCAGGCTCTGGAGGGAGGGAGTGAAGGTGTCGGGAATGCTTTAAGCAGAAGTAATGACAGATGCAGTGGGGCTGTGAGTGCGGGCACTGATTGAATTGAAACTAGGGCACATCAGCTGGTTCTGATCTTGATGTCCAGCACAATTTTCTTGGATGCTAAGACCCCATCAGGAGTGCTGAGACAATGAGAGGCTGGGATAGCGTGGCCAACCTGGGAGGCCAGCATGGAGGGGAGAATTGTTAAGACCTCTTCATTGCTGGATGGCTCAAGTTGTTGAGATGTGTGTGTGTTCATGCATGGAATCGTAAATGCAGATGTGTCTTGTGTTATGTGAACCCTATGCAGAATTGGTCTGAGTGCAGTGTACCTCTTGGCGATCAGAAGTAGGCCTTTGTGCCGGTACTCGTTGGCATTGCCTCCACTCGCATGGACTTGCTCCCCTTGGCTCTGAGAGATACAGGCAGCATCTTCGGAAGGGGGCTTCACTGGACCTCGCTGCTGCCATTGGCTCAGGACCAAGGCCAGTGGAAGTGACCGGGAGGACTCAGATTTTTCACAGAGTTAGTTTGTAGCCCGAGTTTGAAAGCAGAAGAAGATTGACCTGGACCTGGGGAGCCTGGGGGATGCGGCTGGAGTTCCAGCAGGTTTCCAGCTGGTCTTTGTGTGGGTGTCTGTGCGCTCGTTCATTCAGGCCGCAGGTGCTTGCAGCGTGCTTCCGTCTGCCCGGCGCCATGGGCAGCGCTTCTGTGTGCAGCTCTGAATAGCTGGCCGGGTGCACATTGTTCTCGCACCCCACTTGCTTCCCCAGCGCCCGCCACCGGATTGTGTGGGAGGAAGGCAGGCCCCTCTGCCCAGGTTCCTGTCGCCCTCAGGACAAGCTCCTAGAGTTTAGGATCTTATCTTTTGTGCTTTTTCCACCCCTCCCTCCAAGTTTCTCTCATCTTTTTGTTGTTGTTGTTGTTGTTTGTTTGTTTATAATTAGAGCTGTGCCGTCCACAGATTTATTTCCCAGATGCTGACAGCACCTGGAGCTGGGTCAGGCTGAAGCCCAGGAGGTGGCCTGGCTCTTGGCATGCGTGGCAGGTGCGAGGGCTTGAACCGTCATCTGTTGCATCCCGGAAAGCTGGAGCAGAAGCTGGTGTGAGCAGGCCTGGGGTGCAGGCATCCCCGGGAGAGCTTCGCTGCTCTGCCTGTGTCCACCCCTCCTCCCTCTTTCTGCTTCTCGCTTGTCACATCCTTAAGAATATGTGGCATTTAGATTCTGTTGCATTCTGCTGTCTGACATTTGCTTCTCAAAAGGTATGCAGGTATACATGAGGTCCAGGTATTCAGCACAGATGAGTACACCGGGGAGCCCTGGCCCCCAGCGGTGTCTCCCAGGCTGTAGCTTTTGTAGTGATTTGTGTAACATTTTCGTGTGCATCAAGTCGAAGGAGGCCTGACCTCCCATCCCAAGCCATTGCCTTGGCTGTCACTCTTACGGGCTGTTCCTTGGCCAGTTGTCGTATTCCTGCAAGCCTCACTTTTTTGCTTTCCCTCATAGACCTGGGCAGACCTGCCTCAGACCCACCCATGCTTTTTCACCGGACGCTCTCAACACCAGAGGCGGACAACTTGTTGACTTTGTCCTGTGGAAATCAGGCAGTGAATGGGTTGGCTTAGAGTAGAGGTTCTCAGAGTTTTGGATTTCACCTGTAAAATCAAAAAGAAGTACAATATGAACTGGCTACGTTCTTAGTTGTGTGAAATAATTATTGTCAAGATAAGAAGCATCAGCGGTCGCCATTGTTTTATGAAAAAAGAGACATTTTAATACTCCTCAAACATAAAGATCTCTCTGACTATGGGAGAGCTCTTAAATTGAAGGCATTTTTGGGAAGCTTTTTGCGTTGTGTTCATTTTGTCACACACCAGTAAAAGATTCCTTGAAGCTGCAGACTTGCAGAGCACTGGACCGCATGCCCGTCATGTCTGCCCTGAGGTGTGACCCTGGGGCAGGCGGCGCCTTCACCCGTCCTCTGTAGAGTGCGTTGGAGTATGCACTCTTGCTTTGGTTGAATTAGTGCTGAACGTGAATCGGGTATCTCATATCACAGGTGAATAGACAAAGATGTTTAGGATATATAGAGGCAATGAAGGCCCACAAAACAGTGGGGAAGGAAACCACAGGCACCCCTGTGTGTGGAAGGGAGTGCTTTATGTGGGAAACAATTCTGAGATGCACTTGGAAACTGGAGGTGGAGTCTGGAAGCAAGTTGCATGTGTTTCTGGTACTGGGGGTCGCAGGTGGCACTCCCCGCCTCAGGAGCCCCCAGCGCCTTGCTTGTCACGTGCATCCAGCAAACAGGGGTCGGGCTTGGGGCAGGCACTCGTGAATGTGCTGGCTGGGCATTGGTGGGGGTCTCAACTGGGGGTGTTGGTGAAGTCTCCTGCTTCCTTAGATCAGCCACAAGTCTTTCAGTTGCTTTTCTGTCATATTCTGACAATTCCAAGTGTGTGTTTGAGGCTTTTTTTTTTCTTTTTTCCAGACATGCATGTTTATTCAGTGTGTACTATTGGCTGGGGTTTAGAGCTATCTCAGAAAACAGTCAAGCCCTTTTCTTCATGGAGGAAGTGAATAACTGAAAATATACATAATATATTCACAGTGGGAAATATTCAACCAGAAAAGAAAGCAATATAGGGAATAGGAAATAAGTGGAGAGAGTGAGAATATAGATAGGGTCCAGATACGGTCATGTCTGAGCGCTGGGGCAGAGCCTAGAAAGGGAATGGCAGGTGCAGAGATGGGCTGCCCTGCCTTGGGCAGTGCTATCACGGCTGTGCGCATGGGTCACGGCTGTGCGCATGGGTCACGGGTGTGCGTATGGGTCACGGCTGTGCACATGGGTCACGGGTGTGCGTATGGGTCACGGCTGTGCACATGGGTCACGGTGTGCGCATGGGTCACGGTGTACGCATGGGTCACGGCTGTGCGCATGGGTCACGGCTGTGCGCATGGGTCACGGCTGTGCGCATGGGTCGAGGTGTGCGCATGGGTCACGGCTGTGCGCATGGGTCACGGCTGTGCGCATGGGTCACGGCTGTGCGCATGGGTCACGGTGTGCGCATGGGTCACGGCTGTGCGCATGGGTCGAGGTGTGCGCATGGGTCACGGGTGTGCGCATGGGTCACGGCTGTGCGCATGGGTCACGGCTGTGCGCATGGGTCACGGCTGTGCGCATGGGTCACGGCTGTGCGCATGGGTCACGGTGTGCGCATGGGTCACGGCTGTGCGCATGGGTCACGGCTGTGCGCATGGGTCACGGCTTTGTGCATGGGTCACGGTGTGCGCATGGGTCACGGTGTGCGCATGGGTCACGGCTGTGCGTATGGGTCACGGTGTGCGCATGGGTCACGGTGTGTGCATGGGTCACGGCTGTGCGCATGGGTCACGGTGTGCATGGGTCACGGTGTGCGCATGGGTCGCGGCTGTGCGCATGGGTCACGGCTGTGCGCATGGGTCACGGCTGTGCGCATGGGTCACGGTGTGCGCATGGGTCACGGTGTGTGCATGGGTCACGGTGTGCGCATGGGTCACGGTGTGCGCATGGGTCACGGCTGTGCGCATGGGTCACGGCTATTTCTTCTGTGTGATACACTGTACTTTGTTGCTTTTCAGATGACTGGCATTTCCTGAAGTGTTCCTTTTGACAAGATCTGCCTCCAAAAACAAACCCCTACTTCCCATGACACCACCTTGGTTTGCCTCCCGTAGGTTCTCCTTTCTAATGTGATTTATGTTATTATATTACCCTAGGCTTGTCAGAAATCTTACTGTCAGGCCTCAGGTGTTTGCTGTTTTATTTTACTTATTTTTTGGCTGAGGAAATAGAGGTTAAGTTACTCTTCCAAGCTCGTGGATTATTGGGAACACTGGGCCCGCAAGCCCTGTGGATCGGTTTGTGTCTTAGGTGACTTCTTCTGTAGTGCTGGTCAGGAGCAGTACGGTCAGTCTTTGAGTGATTACTCTGCCACGTTGTGACTCAAGTGTCTTTAAGTCTGGGATCTAGACCTCTATGTTGTTCTTGAGTTTGGAGCTTTGAATGGACTCTGCTTTGAGCTCATGGCTCCGACACAGCACGGCCGATACTGAGTTCATATCTTTGTTCTCAGGCTGACCTCACTTCATATTAACTGCAGTTACTCAGTGGAGTAACCATTCTTTTTGTGCCTGATAGCAAGGATGTCAGCCTCATCTCTGATTGGTCTCTTTTCGTGTGCCATGTCTCACGGTCCCCAGAGACCAGAGTCTGTTCCAGGCATCCCCCCCACTGCCCCTATTCTGATGAGTGGATTGCATCACTTGATGCTGGTTCTTTTTCGTTGGTCTCCTGTTGAACTTTGTGTATTCTCTCCTTACCTTGCAGTCTACCTGCTATGCTATCCTCCAGTGTCTTAGAGTCACATGATGTGACTCATCAGAACCAGCTACTCAGACAGTCACAACGTGTCATCATGTACACTTTATGGATCCAAGACCATGATGCATTTTACTCTCCTGGGATACACTGTGAGCAAGGCCAGTGCTGCCATCCTCCTGTTCCCGGTTAAAGCAACATGGGCTTCGTACCAGGCCCTGTTGGAGCCCCGTCCCCTCTACGACATCTTCCATTTTTACTCCAGTTCATTCCAGACCATGGTTGCATTCCTGCTAGCTTGTCATCAGTAGTGGGTCATCTTGCACCTGTGTTCTGACTGGGCCGTGATGGACTCCCAGGCGGATACAACCGGAGAAGAATCCCCGTTCTGCCAGTGGCATCCAAGTGGCAGACACATGTTGACTGATTCATAGCTCTGGTCATTTTGAGCGTTGTAATAATTTAATTAAAAATGAAGAAAGCCAGTAGAAACCATAGGAATAATACTGCAGTCTTGTTCCACGAAGCCTTACCTTGTCCTTTTCCTTGTCAGGTTTGTTTGCTATCATCTGGCATCGAATGCTGGTGAATATTTGTGACATTGTGTTCTGCTCCTGTAAGCATGCTGTCTGAAGCCCGCAGGGGCCGTCCCTGACCCGGGGTTCCTCGGTTAGTGTCTGGCACCGTCCTGGTCTTTTCCCCAATTCTTGCATTGTTTTTTTGTGCTCGTGCTAGAAGACATACATAGCCCAGTGTTGACAGCTGCTAGGTCGTCTTGCCACCCCTCTCAGTGACCAAGTGATGGCACTGGGAAAGGTGGCAAAAGGGGTCAGGAACCCAAGAGAAGCCGTGGAAATGTCTGAAATGGATCTGCCTCGTCTCTGCTTGACCCTGTTGCCAACACCCTACTGAGACAGAGCTTTGTTAATTATGTGTAAAATACTCTTCGAAGATTGATCTTGCATGAGACATGCTTTTATCCTCGTCTCCTTCCTGGTAATAGTCAGTGTCAGGGACAAGAAGTGCCTGGTTGTACTGTGTGTGTGGTGTAGGTGGGAGGGAAAGAGAGCCGTGAGCTGAGTGGAGCTGAAGCCTAGCGTTTTACAGCTCTGTTGTTCTACTATCAGAGGGCGATTATACTCCCTCTTCCATTTCCCTCCCCGCGTCCTCCTGGCTGTGCTGCCCTGATACCCAGCACCTACACAGAGGGTTACAGGGTGGCATGGTGATCATGGCAGGGCTGTGTCATGGCCCCTCTGCCCCTTCAGTAAGGCTAGGGCTCTTTTTTATAAAGATTTATTTATTTTTATTGGAAAGTCAAATATATATATATAGAGAGAGAGAGAGAAAGAGAGAAGGAGAAGCAGAGAGATCTTCCATCTGCTGATTCACTCCCCATGCAGCTGCAATGGCCAGAGCTGAGCCGATCTGAAGCCAGGAGCCTAGAGCCTCTTCCAGGTCTCCCATGTGTGTGCATGGTCCCAAGGTCTAGGGCCATCCTCTACTGCTTTCCTAGGTCACAAGCAGGGAGCTGGATGGGAAGCAGGGCCGATGGGACATGAACTGGTGCCCGTATGGGATCCCAACGCATGCAAGGCAAGGACTTTAGCCACTAGGTTACCACCTGGCCCAGGGCTCTGGCTTTTAACTGCTGATCCATTTTAGTGAAATTGGGCATTTCTAGCTTTTCTGGATTTTTTCCAGACTGGTGGAATTGGAATTATAGCTTTTACGCATGTATGTATCACAGACTAAAGCGTTCAGTGGTGCTGTAATAATATTGTCTGTAGCATATCCTGTGACTGAACACAGGGTAGGAAGTTTATTTTTGTCTCATAAGATACTTCATGTTCAGTTCAGAGGGTTACATACTGAAAATAGGCTCCAGCTGCTTACATGTCTATAGGGCAAATGTTAACACTTTTGATCAAGAAAATATAATATGTTTTTCCAGATTATAGCTTGCTTATTGGCACCATACTCTGGAATTTAAATCCCAAACATTAGGAGAAAATTTGCGGAACTTTGGTTTTTTGCGCTTAGTTTATCCCTAAAACTGAGACTTGAGCCTGCCACAAACTGAAGTGCGTTCCCAGTGGACAGACTCGTGGCTCAGGCTGGCTCTCGGCGCTTGTGGTCATTTGGTCGAGGGGAAGCGTGGCAGAGTGTGATAACAGAGTGAGCTAGCAGGTGATGGCCGATTCCCAGTTCTGCTCACATTTCTACTTGGGCTGTCCTGGATACGCGCCTGGGAGCAGAGTTGGGAAGACACGGCTTCGGAAGGCAAGTGTAGCTGGGAAGACAGCAGGGAAGAATAACAGCAGTGTGATAGAGTCATGGAGAAACTCGAAGCAGTGCAGCATGGCTGGTGGGTTTGAACACAGCAGCTGCTGACACGAACTTGGCAGAAGTTGGTGAGTAATGGTGGGTGAGTCATTGCGAGCAGGGGAGTCTTGCCACTTGTGAGGTGAGCGGGCAGGGGAGAGCAGAGATGGTGGCCACCCAAGGGCCTGCACGTGAGCATGTCTGATCCTCTGTTAACTTTTGAAGCTACGTTATTGTCGTGAATTATAGCATTGTTTCCACCAGAAAACCCTGAAAGCATAAACAACCTGTGTTTTCGAGCGCGCTTCTTCTCCATCTGAGAGGATCGTCCTGGGGTGGGAGGGAAGTGGGTGGAGGGACATATTACATCATCGGGTTTTTTTTTCTTTATTTCAAATCAAGCCTAGCTGCCCATCACTCTTGCCCCTGAAGATACAGGAAGAGCGTGCCTGGGGGCACACATGGGGAGGGGCAGCTACATGTGGTTGGGAAGAAATCACTTGAGTTCTTTGGTTCATTCAGCTCTTCTCCATTGGAAATCATTGTTCTGAAGCAGATGAGGTGTTCTTAAAAAGGTTGCAGTAGTCTTGAATTTTGAAATCTTGGTTGTTGGAGGGAGACAGGTGGTAGGAGACTTTAGAATTTCATTACCAGCAGTAGTGTCTTCTTAGGCAGAGCTAGAAAGGCACTGCATCTGAGATCCGAGCCTTGTCCCTATTTGGGAGTTGCAGCAATCAGCAGGGAAATGAAGGCTTTGGGATTCTGTAGCCTGGGGCATGGCAGGTCGGGGGGGAAATCCAACGCCTTGGGCAACTCAGCAGATTTAGAGAACTTTCCCTGTTGGTTATAGGAAAATTGCAAGGCTGGTGCTAGTGTAGTGTTGGAGAAAGACTTTAAAGGGGGAAGAAGCTTGTAAATGTGTCTCCTTTAGAGGGGATGGTTCTTAGAAATGAGAAGCACTTTTTTTTGAGAGAGAGAGGGTGGCTGCTTGCTGCTGAAGGGAAGTAGGAAGATCTCAGTTCTTGCCTTGCATGGGGTAAAGTGAAGGACAGAACCTCACCTCCCACCTAGCCACTTCCTCCTAGGATCTGCTTATTTTTTACATCTATAGTTTTGGAAGTGATGCATCATTTTCTGTTACTCAGTGCTGCTGCTGAATGAGAGCCCATCTAACACCAATCCACATAGGAAATGGGAAATTACGGGAAGGGCATTAGTGTTGGAAATAGGCCTGTGCAGCAGGGGTGCCATATTTGTAAATGGTTCTCGGAACAGAGAACACTTAAAAAGAAAAATCAGTGCAATTTCTCACGTATTGTTTTTTTAAGGTTTTGAATAAAGTCTTTTCCTTGCATAGTTTCTGGAGTACATCAGAAAAAGCGGAACTGGAAATAGCTTCCAGAGACAAGCAATCTAAGGAATTGATCGTGGTGTGGCGTCTGTGGCAAAGCTAATTCCGTAGCGCAGAGAGTTTTAATTCCTCATTTCTTAAGCAAATATAAACACTGCCTCTTAAATAAGATTTTCTTTTTAGAGCGGTTGCTGTTGTTTCCATTCTAAGCCCTGAAAACTCTCCCAGTCCTCAGTGTTAGTATCTTCCCTCGGTTTCAACTTGACGTTCTGTAACCCACCCCCACACAGGTGTTCTTATCCTGCTGTATGCGTGGACACTGAGTGTTCTGTGGTCAGTTTGCATGGACAGGTATGTCTGCCCTGGTGCTCCTCTGCCTGCTTGCCCATTGTTTGCTTTTCAATGAAGGTGACAGTTTCTGTTTTTCACTTCCAGAGTGTTCTTAATACAGTTCATGCAAAATGCACATTATTAAAAAATCGTGCATGGATTTTAAAGTATTTTGCAGAAGAAAAATAAACTTAACTTTAATTTGATTTTCCTATAAAGTATTTATTTATTTGTGTAACAGAGAGCTGTCCTCCAGAGGCCTGCAATGGTTTGGACTGGACTGAGCTGAAGCTGGGACATGGGAATGCAATTTAGGTCTCCTTCATGGATAGTAACAACCTGGTCATTTGAACCATCATTGCCTGCAAGGGTCTGCATTGATAGAAAGCCAGGACCAGGGCATCAGACTCAGTAACTCCGGTAGGACACGCAGATATCCTAAGCACGAGGCTGGGCCCAGCCCTTATAGATGGAGTTACAGGGAGAGGTTCAGACAGAACTTCCACTCCTTAAAGAGCCAGGCTGAAACCAGGAGCTTCTTCCAGATTTCCCATGATGGGTGCAGGGACCCAAGCGCTTGGGCCATCCTTTGCTGCTTTCCCAGGTGCATTACAGGGAGTTGGATCAGAAATGGAGCAGCCAGGTCTGGAACCAGAGCTTGTATAGGCTTGCTGGTATTACTGGCTGGGCATCAGTGCCTGCTGTCCCCCACCCCTCCGTCAGCTTTTTGAAGTGTCTTGGTAAACTGAAGCTTCCTTTTCCAGGTGTGAATATTTGTTGAGCTTTCAGCTTCTAGACCTACCAACGCTTTTATTACTCTGGGCAGATGTCACTTGTCCTCTGCAAGCGCATCCCTGCGCGCCAGGAAGCCGTGGGGAATAAAGTGCACCTCTTTGTCCCACTGTAGCTGTGGCCTTTCCAGTCGGACCTTGCGCCAATTCACTAGTTAAGGCCCCTTGAAAACTCTCACGTGGTGGAGCATTCGAACTGATTTCCACTTCCTGTAGGCAGAGGCGCAAGGAGTTAGGTGCTTTAAATTCTGTAGGGGCGGGGCAAGGATGTGAACCAGGATAATTTTAGCAGTTTCCTTAGTGTCTCAGTGCATGCCCCACTTTCATGGCTTTGTATGCCCTCTCCATGTAAACAGCAAGCCCCACATTTCCATCTCAAACCAGACGTTTCTCTCCAGCAGTACACACCAACATTTATCTCACAGTTTGCTATCTTCATCTGGAGGTCTGGTATCTTGAAATGACGTGTTAGTGCTGAGTTCTCAATCTTCCTGCTTGTCCTGGCTTCTGGAGACCTCATCCTTTTTCTGACGTGCATGTCTGTTCTGTGAACAGATGCTGCCAGCTGTGCTGTTCATGCTGAGCCAGCCGTCTCTTCCTTCCTCTTCAGTCCCTAGAGACTGTTCTCCACTAACAGCTGGACTGGTCCTTTGGCTTTGGTCACTCCTTGGCAGTGCCTCATCATGGTGAACGCCGGGCCTCACGGTGTCTTCCAGGACCTGTGTGGTTTGCCTCTCTGCCTCCCTGCCTCCCAGCACTTGATCTGGCTGTGGAGGGCTCCGTGTTCTTGGAACATACCAAATACTGCCCTTGGCTCTTGGTGTTTCTTCATCTGACGTCCTCACCCCTTCGCAGACAGCAAGCAAAACATGAATCTGATTGCTCAGTATGTCAAGTTTGTACGGGGTGTGTTCCCACTCCTGTAAGATGTGACTGTAGCAAGTTGATTTCCAACGGTCATTTCTCAGCGTCTTCCTTTGGTGGCATCTGCTAAGCCACTCCGGCTGTGTCCTGTGTCCGTCTTGGAAGCTTCAACAGTTAGAGCAGTGATCGTGTGGTGGTGGTTTACTCATGTGACCCTAGTGACAAGGAGAAAATGTTCTGAGCTGTGTTGGTCCTGCAGTGGGCTGGCCTGTCCTAAGGAGGAGAGGAAGCCATGCATTGTGTCTTTGTAGTTCGAGAAGCCACAGCTAAATGGTCTTTAACGATTTCTCTGTTCTTTTATGTACAGATGCACAAAGCAGGGTCATCAGAAGCCTCTCGATTCAAAAGATGATAATCCTGAAAAACACTGCCCCGTGACAGTGAACCCATGGCATATGAAGAAAGCTTTTAAAGTCATGAATGAATTAAGAAGGTACTGTTACGTGAATGTGCATATAACTGTTGGTCTCATTTCTGTATTTTTCAGTCGTTACAGTTAATTGCTTTGTTGCTACCAGGGACACTCAGAGTCTTGTTTCTCCCAGTTTGGTTTTGATCTGAATGCTGGATCCAGGTCACCCAGCGGAGAGCAGAAATTCTCCTAGCAGCCTCACTTCTCCCGCAGGTCCTCAGTAGCAGGAAGCCCCAGTTACGACGCTGGGAATTCAACCTAGACACTATAGATGTGTCCTAAACCGAGTGCCCTAGGTGGCAGCTTAATTGCTAGACCAAGCACCTGCCCCTGCAAGTTTCTGAAGGGAGGAAGAAAGCAGTTATCAGAAATGTGGATAATGTAGGACTTTTTCCCCTGTATTGTAGCCACAGCTCTTTTTTTTTCTGCCAGTCTGAATTGAGATACTTTGTCAGTAGAAAACTTGCAATAGCTTTGTTAGTGCAACAGAATGAAATAATTAGTAACTTTAAAAAAATACTGATTACATGTTGAAATTAAAATACCAGATTTGGGGATTAAATAAAATGTTGAAATCGGTTTCATAGTTGGTACCTTTTTGATGTGGTTACTGGGAAATTGTCGCTAGCATTATGTTTTTATTGGACAGCAGTGGTCGAGGGTTTCTGACTCACTATCCAGAGTGTAGAAGGAGGACATAGCTCTCTTGGTGCTGGCATTTTACGGATAGAGACCTGCCTGTTACTGAGTGCGTCCTGAAGTGTTTGGAGAGCTAATGCAGTGAAAAGAGTGACATTAAAAGGTGACTGAAAATATCCGTTGTGCGTGTATTTTTTTTTTAAATAAAAGGGTAGTGTAGATATTAGGAGTCTTAATTGTGCTTTCTCAGTCCTGGAGAGAAGATACTTGTTTTCCTGCTGTTTCTTTCTTAAACCACTCTGCACATGAGGGACATTGAGTGGCTGGGAAAACTATACATGGATTTCAAAAACTTTGGGGACCAAACTAAACTTTGGGTTCCATTATTGCATGAACTTTTCCAAGTCCCTCTGTCCCAGGAAGGGAGAGGCTTAAGCTTTCCTTCCAGCTCCCTGTGCTGTTCTTCCCTGAATTCCACCTTCTCAGCCCATCACTTGTTTATTCTTTAGTGACTTCGTTCATGATCTAGGTACCAGACACTGTGGCAAGCAGGAGCACATGCAGTTGCTGTGCCTCTGGGACCATGGTTGCCTTCAGGACACAGACATGCATCCGAAAATCACAGATATCGTTTAGCATCCAGTTGCAATAACAGAAGTGCTCCAAAGGAGCGCTTCCAGATTCTAGGAGGATTGGGAACCGTGGACAGGAGTAATGATATTCAGATCTGAATGAGGGTGGAGGTAAGGGGGTGAGGTCAGGTTGCCCGTGGTCCAAGTAGGGGGCTGTGGTGGGAGTAGGGTGGCCCCTTGGGAGGCACTGCAGGGGTCGCTGGAGAGAGGAGTTGAGTCAGAAGTTGCCTTGGGAGTGAGCAGTTACAAGAACTTGGAGCAGAGATGTGACATGATCAGGTTTGTGTTATGAATACTGGCTGCTGGATGGAAATGGATTGAGGAGAGGCCAACGGAAGTTAGATTGAATATTGGATTATTTGATTTGCTTCCTAGGACTGCTCTGACAGCATTTTCGAAATGCAGCTTTTCATTTATTCATTGGGAGAGTATGTCACTGAGGTGATTCGGCAGGGCTGACCGTGCTGTTTCCTTTTTTGTTTTAAAAAAAATCCTGTTGTGACAGTAGTTTTAGAATATAAAATGCATTGGTTACTAAGAGGAACTGAGAGGAAAGGAAGAAAAGTTTGTGCTTAAGACATTTAAAAAAAATTATCTTAAAACAATTTGAGCGGCACTGAGACAGAGTGCTCCCATCTCCTGGTTGGCTCTCCACAATGTCCACAACTCCTAATACTGGCCAGGCAGAAGCCAGGAGCTGGCAGCTCAGTGGGGTGACAGGTATCCCGCACCTGAGCGAAGGTGTCTGCACTGACAGGAAGCTGGAGCCAGGAGCCAGAGCCAAGGAGGGAACTCAGGTACCCCGGGGAATGTGGGATGCCTACCCCGAGACTGGGAACTGGAATGGCTCTTCTTTGTCTTGTATCAAAAATCTGAAAGAACTGACTTTAAAAAAAGAAAAGGAGCATATTCATTTGCAAGGCAGAGAGGACAGGAGTCTGGCTCTTCCATCCGCTGGTTCACTGTCAGCAGCATCACCCGTGTTTCCCTCTGCCCACTGCTGTGGCATGTGAGTGCAGCTCTGCTGACCTGGGTTATTCATCAGACTGTGGGGAGGGGAGCACCTGGCACTCCTCTTGAGGCAGATGGCCTGGGTTTTGGGGAAACTCTTTGGTCCTCCGTCTTTGTGCCTCGACTGGAAGGAGAGGCGTGGACAGGGTGGCTGTAGCGGGTCACTGCTGCTTTCATGCTCTCTGAGTTGAGGTTTTTTATCCCCTGTCTACTGAAAAATCTTGTGTTCTAAACTCTAGGGTCATTTACCGCCCGCCTCCATTTACCTGTCTGTCCCGTTTTGGGTGTGAGCGCTGTGTCTGAGACAGGACCCTTCTGTTCTTGGTGGCCTGATGGCAGTGGCTGGTGTGTGAGACCAGGCTCCTAGGAGGTGTTGATTGTTTTCAGAACAAAGAGTGACCTTTGAGGAGCTGCGGGGCTGGCTTGCAGGTCTGGAAACAGGAATATTTTAAGGAAGCCACCAACCTGCAGTATTCTTTGGTTAAAAAAAAAAAAGACTGTCTTGGGGGCTCATCAGAACCCCTGTTTTTGAAAAAGAAAAATAAATCGTTTTCATTCTTACCTCTTCTGGCTATTTTGAGTAGTTCAAAAACAATCTCAGAGGAAGCCTCTTTTCTTGCAGTTAGAAATCATTCATTATTTCCTGTCCTTGCATCAACTTCCTGTTGCCGGGCAAGGGCAGCCGAGAGTGGTTTCCGGACTGCTGGGAAGGGCCAGTTTCCGTGTTTTCACACTCCTGGGCTCTAGCCTCCAAGTGTCAGAGTGAAGCTGTGTGCTAAAGGGAGTGCTGGGTCCAGTGTAAGCAGTGCTTGCTGAGTCACTTCGAGTTATAGCTGGTGTAAGGTGTGTTCATGGCAGTGAGAGCACAAATATTTTCTGAGATTTAAGTTGAAGAATTAAAATGATTTTGGAGCAAAAGTACATGACACTTCCTTTAATCAAAGTTCTTTAGACAGGAGGCCCAGAGGTTTTGTTCTCTATCTTGGCCCAGTCTGCTCTTGAATAACATAAAAACTTTATGATGTAAAAACCTTGTGGTCACTTTGAAATAACAAACTCAGTAGAGATTTGTGAGTGTGTGGTTCCCCTTTGAAGTCAGCTGGCGTGTCCATAAAGCTCTGGGGCCTGCAGACAGTACCACACAGGCCCCTGTGAGTCTCACAAGAGCAAGCAGAAAGGAAAGAAGGACTAACTGGAGGCCAGACCTGGGTGACCAGAGGTGGGTCCGCAGCAGCCCACAGAGGGGGGCATCAGCGGGCCCTATGGGAGTGCAGTGCAGTTCACTTAGAGTGGCGGGCGCTAGCCTTCCCCTGTCTGACTTACTGCTTGGATGGGGAGGGCATAAGCATAACCTGTTGGGTAAAGTGAATCGGGGGTGCCTGCTTGGGGAGTCTGTAGAAAAGATGGAAGCTGCAGAAGTGCAGAATTGTGGCAGGCTTAAATCAGGTGATAAATCTGGACTTGATACTCCAGGCGGTGGGACTCAGGGAAGGTTTGCGAAAGGGGGAAGGACAGTAAAATTAATGGTGTTGGAGGAGCAGCTTGTCAGAGCTGTGAAAGGATGGCTCTGGGTCAGCCGCACACCCCTGGGGAGATTCTGCTCTTGACTCTGACTTTCTCCAGCAGAGGCGAGGGCAGTAGTTCAAAAAATGAAACCAATAGATCCTTGCAGTGTACCTGTTATCTAAAATGCACCGTATGGGTCTGTGGAAGGGAAAAAGGCACACATTTTTCCCCAAATACATGTTTTACTGAGAACATTAGCTTTCCAGGTTTTTAGATGACCAAAAAGGGGGCTGCCTAAAATGTAGGTAACATTTGTGTTTAAGTTTTAAAAATAAAAATCAAACTTTTTTCCTGCATATAGGTTAGATTGCATGAGTTTTAAGAATTTCAGGGATTATTAGTGGGAGAGCCCGGTTTAGTTTGGAAGGACTATAATTCAGGTTCTTAAATTACATTTAGGAGTTGAAAGTGTTCAGTTCGGCTGGATTGAATAAAGCCTCTACAATGTTCACTTCTCTGAAGGTCTTCAGAAAGTCAGTGGACAGCACACACTATGAAAAACCATGGATATCAGAATTGTTTACAGTGTAATGAGCTCACTTGTAATTCTGATTTTCACTCCACAGACGTCTGCCACATCTGGAGCTGGGCTGCGGTGAAGGCAGGAGCCCAGAACTCAGTTCTTGTCCTGGATAGGTGGCGGGGTCACAGGTGCTTGAGCTGTGACCTGCCTCTCAGGGTTAAGGGACAGCTGAGCTTGGCCATGGGGCCAGGACTGCCCTTGATCTTAGCTGAAAGGCCAGGAAGCGATGGGGCCGGGACGTAAACTCAGGAGTTGGGTACCCGTGAGCAAGTTGCCTGTAGACTTCTAGAAAGTTACAGAAGTAGACAGGCCATCTTTGTGGGAAGTTGACAGACTGATGGAGGAGGGGAGTGTTGGGGACCTAGGAAAGCCATACGCACGAGTGTACGACCAGTGTTTGGATGTTTGAGGGGTGGAAAGGCTGCTTGCTTTCAGCATACTTGTTTCTGTCATTCATGATACGGCTAACAGCAAGGCAGTGTTAGGCGCTGAAATCTCCTTGCTTGTTCTAGAATAAGAGACATTCCAAATTACCATCACATAAAGTGTGTACAAAGTAGGTGATCATGACAAGTTTTTGAGTGAATTAAGATGGGTATGTTAACATTACAAGTTCATTATGGTAGCTGACTAAAGGTTTGTTTTCAAGTTTGAAAACACCCTTCAGTTTTATATGTAATAATATTTTTTACCCTTGGAGAACAAAGTTTTTTGGTAAAACTTTCTGATTAAGTTCATGTTAAATGCCCAGATACCTTTTGAGCAGCAGGTATAATTCAGTATAATTTTACTCTTGGTTGATGACCCAGGGTCATTCTAAATATCCTTTCTTATCTGGAGGAGGTGTCTGACACATCTTACTGTTACCGTCGATCTTCATTCTGATGTCCTCTGCTTTTCTGCTGAATGTGCTGCCTCCCTGGTTGACCACTGCTTCTCCTGCCCTTGCTTTAAAAATCAGCGATCAAGTTGGGAAAGATCTCAGGGTTAAAGCAAGGCGAGATCTCGTTGGAGGTTAGAGGGTGTGTTGTGCGTTTATCGCACCTGCTCGCTGTGTGTCTTGTACTTAGGGATCTCGTTCTCAAAGCAGGGATCTGTTAAGCTGGTCTCCCAGAACCCTGGGCTTGGCAGCCACGACATGTCCATGTGTCTCTTACTGGTTTTTGTTTTCTTTCCTCCCTGCTGTGGACTGCAGTCAGAACTTGCTGTGTGATGTGACCATCGTGGCAGAGGACACGGAGATCTCCGCACACAGAGTGGTGCTGGCCGCCTGCAGCCCTTACTTCCACGCCATGTTTACAGGTAGGAAGTCCTCCTGGGAGCCTCGCTTTGCTTTCCACCTTGTCTCCCGTCGCTAACATCCAACTGCTGAGATAAAGAACTTAAGTGAAAGAAAGTACTCATGCTTGGCCCACATTCCTCCCCGCGTTGGTGAGGTTGAGGTCGGGGGTCAGCACATCCTACTGGTACACCTGCACGTGGCTTTGTGCTGCGAGGTTGGCAATCAGCACATCCTACTGGTACACCTGCACGTGGCTTTGTGCTGTGAGGTTGGCGGTCAGCACATCCTAGTGGTACACCTGCACGTGGCTTTGTGCTGCGAGGTTGGCGGTCAGCACATCCTAGTGGTACACCTGCGCATGGCTTTGTGCTGTGTTCTCCTCTACATTTATATTCCCACGTGTTCCTTCAGTTAGCCTCTCTTCTTTCTAACAGCTTCTTGTTTCCTTTTTAATTTTTTCTTTATTTTTGACATTCTTTACATAGTTAATTAGGGCAAAAAGGTTCAAGGGCTACAGGAAAGTGGGTAAGAGTATTATTTCCGCATTGTTTTTTTTCATGTATCTGGAGTAAAGGGGGCAGTAAAGGAAGAAGCCCTACCCAGTCTCCCATCCACCCCAGGTCCCTGATGTGGGGCATGCTCTGAAGGTCTTGCTCAAATGGTTTTGATAGTTCAGCAGTTAGGAATCGCTGTCAGTCTTGCCATTCCAAGCACAGTGAGGTCGCTGAAGAATCCACTGATGGACATAGTCCATCTTAGAGTCTCTGCTTGCACAGTTTTTCACTGCCAACATGTGACTGAGGTAGTTGATTGACTTGTTCTGTCCTCTGTCTTTTCATGGTTAATAACGGTTCTGAGTCCGACAGATCAATTGGGTGTAACAACTGTTTGACACTTCATGATTTTGGCAAAAGAAATCATTTTTACTTTTTTTAAAATTAGAAAATATTTATCTATTTGAGAGGTAGAGTTACAAAGAGGGAAAGATAGTGAGCTCCATTCACTGTTTCATTCCCTAAACGGCTGCAGCAGCTCAGGCTGAGCCAGGCTGAATCCAGGAGTCAGGAGCCCCTCTAGGTCTCCTGTGGAGGTGACCGGGCCCATTTCCCACCATTTCCCAGGTGCCTCGGCAGGGAGCTGCAGTGCCCTGCTGCGTCGTCAATCCATCTCCTTTGTGTTTCAGGTGAGATGAGTGAGAGCCGAGCAAAGAGAGTCCGCATCAAAGAGGTGGATGGCTGGACGCTGAGGATGCTAATTGATTATGTTTACACTGCAGAAATTCAGGTCACAGAAGAAAATGTCCAGGTAAGAGCAAATGCCTCGTACTGTCAGGCTCGTTGCACACGTGCAGTTTTTAAAATAAAACACCATTCCCACATGGCATGCTAGTGCCAAAGTAATAGGATTCATTGTTAAAACTGGATTTCTAAGGGACATTTGGAATGATCACATCTTTTCAATAATGTTTCTGATTTTGTAATCTTTTATATTCTTAGAAGTTCCAAGTTACAGATCCTTTAGTTCTCTGGGTGATGTTTGTTCTTTTATGAAAACCCTGTCATGCCAATTCATGATGCCTGACTGATGCTGCCCACAGCTTTTCTTTTTTCCTTTGAAGGATAGTCTATAAAAGATGTTTTTGACTGTCAACAGTCTTTAGCTCTTCAGCATCTTCATTAAGTGATACTAGAATGTAAGGCAGTTTGATATTGTATCTTATTTTCTATTTTAAAAATGTTTTAGGTGAGTTATGTAAGTGATAAGCACGATAGATTTGGAGTAAGAAGTGAAGGTCTTCCTTTGAAACTCCCTTCTACCTTACATGACGATCTGCTTGGGTTCCCAGAGAGGATCTCCTGTTACGTGCATGGTGCTCCTCCATGCTTGGGTTCCCAGAGAGGATCTCCTGTTACATGCATGGTGCTCCTCCATGCTTGGGTTCCCAGAGAGGATCTCCTGTTACGACGTACAAGGTGCTCCTCCATGCTTGGGTTCCCAGAGAGGATCTCCTGTTACGTGCATGGTGCTCCTCCATGCTTGGGTTCTCTCTCCTCTCTGTATGTCTGTTGATGCACACACAGGCATGCACACACACACACGTATGCACACACACGGACTTGTCATACATCTTGCTGCATTCATTGCTATCAAAGATTCAAATATGCACACACTCTTTGATCGACCAATCCCACTTGAAGAATGTAGCCCATGAAGTTTTTGCATGCAAATATAAAAATTTCTGCTCATGGCAACATTTTTGTAAAAGGCGAAAAATAATACTAGTTTATGTATAGTATACAACACAAAAGGAGTTAAGCCCATGATGGCGATACCAATGTACATATAAGAACTTATTATTCATCCCACAGGCATTGTGTTTTGAAGACAATGATAAGCACTAAGACTAAATTCTCTTTAAAAATGTTTTTTTTATTTGAAGGGGAGAGTGAAGGGGAGGAATGGAGAGAGTGAGGAGGTACCAGGTGAAAGAGAGGGACTGAATATGAACCTCCAGCCAGCTGGCTGACTCCTCAGATCTCCGTGGCAGTTAGGATGGGGCTAAGGCAGAGCAGGAGCGGGGAACTTCGTCAGGATCTCCATGGGTGACAGGAACCCCAGCACATGGAGCAGCATCTGCTGTGCGCCAGCATTTACCAGAAGCGGAGGCCAGGCACTCGGGGACGCCGGCGACTCTAATGCTGGCCTAACCCTCTATAGTAAGGCCCATCCCAGGACTAAATTCCTACGAAGTTATCTGTAATCTGTATTTCTACAATTAGGACCTATATGGATTCAGGCTTTTATCTCTTGTATTTGAAATATGCTACAACGTTTTTAATTTAAAGGCTTACATCTTTGTGCTTTAACTTTTAAAGATTTGTTGCTAATCGTTAAATGAGGCATAATGGTCGTGTGCTCTAGATGGTCTGTTGGTCTTTCCTGGGGCATCATATTTGTTAGGTGTAGGCTTTGGGGTTGTATGTAAAAGTTTGAATTGGATGCTGGGTGAACTTTTTTCTGTCATGGAAGAACATGTTTGCTCTATGCCCTGGAACTCCATTGGAAACATGTAATCCTGATGCTTTTCATATGGTTGACCTAGTAGCTGAATTCCAGGGAATTGTTTTTGATGAAAATTTATCCTTGGGCTTATTTTTCCTCTTCCCTTTAGTAATTAAGTCAACCTGTCAAAAACCCTTTCTGAATTATGCCATTACTGACCTGTCATTACTTTGGCTTAGGAGAATATTGGAAAATCAGAAATTATATAAGCACATCCATTCTTGATCTAGAACTGGGGCTGAAGCTGTTAGAACAGCAAACATCTGGCCAGCTTCATTATATCCCTAGCTGTGTGACTTGATTTAGCTGTTTAACTCTTCTAAGATTTGGTTTCTTCAACAGGTAAATTAGGAGATTTGATTTGATTTGATCCTTACATATTTAGCTATGGGCTGCCTGCATTCGGAATGATTCTTCATTTTAGAGATCTGTCAACTATCTGTTGCTTATTTGGAAGGCAGAGCAGTAATGGGAAAGAGAAATAAAAAAAGAAAAAAAAACGGAGATTGACATTTTCCATCTGTTGGTTTACTTCCCTAATAATTACAGCAGCTAGGGCTGGGCCAGAGAGAAGCCAGGACCCTGCTCTCCCACGAGGGAGGCTCCCAGAAGCATAGGCTCTCCCACAAGGCTGGCAGGATCCCAAACAGGGGCCACCCTCTCTGCTGCCCTGCCCATGCGCCTGAGCAGGAAGCTGGGTTGGAAGTGGAGCAGCTGGGATTCAAACCGGTACTTTGATATTGCAGACCAGGATCCTGAGAAATGGCTTCAGTTGCTGGACCATAATGCCAGGCTTGGTCTGAGGTATTCTGGTCATGAAATAAGGTTCATTTGAAATCTGAGCATTTGAAATTTCGCTTTGTTTTGGCTGGCTGCCTGCCTAAGAAGCGAGATTAGGTAGGAAGCCGGTGTGGCCCTTCATGTACTTTCATGTTATCAGTGAGAGTAACTGATGGTTGCCAAGATCAGCTTAGTAAGATAGGTCTTTATTAACTGCATAATTATGCAGTTTAAAGCTATTAACATTAAATCATGAATTTGAGATATTTCTGAAGCATTTACTGACAAAAAATATGAGTAAGAAACATTTTTTTAAAGATTTATTTGTTTTTATTGGAAAGGCAGATACAGAGAGGAGGAGAGACAAAGAAAGATCTTCCATCCAATGGTTCACTCCCTAAGTGGCTGCAACAGCTGGAGCTGAGCCAATCTGAAACCAGGAGCCAGGAGCTCTTCTGGGTCTCCCATGTGGGTGCAGGAACCCAAGGCTTTGGGCTGTCCTCGACTGCTTTCCCAGGCCACAAGCAGGAAACTGGATGGGAAGCAGGGCTGCCGGGATTAGAAGCAATGCCCCCATATGGGATCCCGGCGCATTCAAGGCAAGGACTTTAACCACTACACTATTATACTGGGCCCTGAGTAAAATTTTTATACATTTGTGTGGAAACAATGGTATTGCCCACTTTCTTATAGCCCTTGACCCTTTGCCCTAATCAACTAAGTAAGATTATTAAAATAAATCAATAAGAAAGATTTTTATACATTTGATTCATTTTTAAAATGTGTTTAACATGGGTTTAATTAGCATGGAGCCACTTGACTGGTCGCTGTTATTAATAATGTATAAAATTTCGTTGCCATATGGGTTGCTGCTAAAATAACGTCTATGTTCTCAACCTGGATGACTTGTTATGTCGCTTTGAGGGCTGAGATTCTTCATAGTTATATTTTCCAGATAAGTTCTATCTGCGCTTAGAATAGTGACGTTGTAATTGCCAAGGCACAATAAAAGCTAAAAGGCACGCTGTGGCTACTTTTGGGTGTGTATGGGTGTGGTAGCAAAATATGTACTGGTCATTGGTTTTTTTATTACTTGATCTTTAAAACAGTCCCTTTTGTGTCATTTCTCTTTGATTTATAGGCTTGGAAAACACACTGCTTGGGTGGGTGCCTGTGAGTTCTCCGAGCTGTCTCCTGTCACAGACAAGTAGACTAGTGCTGTGAGAGCAACCTGTAAACAGGAGGGTTTTGTCCATCCAGTAGCATCATCTGTTGTTTGAGCTGCTGTGATGTTGACTGTGAAATAAACACATTGTTGATCATTGAAGCGGCTCTTTCCACCACGAGAGCCTGCTGGTGGCGGCTCTGCCTTTTGCTGCGGCTTCTGGCGGCAGACATTTGGACACCGCTCTGCCTCACCGCTGTCTCTGGAACTGCCGGTGAGACTGTGGTCGTCACTGTTCGGCTGCCTTGGACGTTGAACATTACTCTAAAGACCGCTTTCCAGGCTGTGTGTATTTGTGGAATTAAATGGCTGCACTGTTAAGCATCTTGGAATGTTCTCTTCTTTGCTTCCGAGTACAATTATACCCGCAAAGAGAAACCTCTGATTGGAAAATTATCAGCCAATTAAAGCCATCCATGGAGAGTCGTTCTCATATAGCAGTGTAGCACACTGTATGTGTTGTGCAGTGGGTTTGATGTAACAATATTTTTTATACTTTATTTTTCTTAAGTTCTGAGGGAAAACTTACCTACATACTGTTTGCGTTTTTAGAGAAAACATTTAGTTGCTGCTAAATTGAGATAAAACAGAAAGATTCACCCATTTAAGTTCTTAATTTTACTTTATTTGTGGCTGTTGGTGCACAAGTTTATGTGTGCTGTGTGTGTGTGCCTGCACACGCACACACACACTCACACACACACACACACATTCCCTTGCAGAGTGAGGGAAACAGGCTTTCTCACACAGATGCACTGTTAACTGCGTTCACAGCTGGTTGTGTTGGCGTGGAGGACATCACGGATGCTCAGGGAGCGAGTTGCCTTCCTCAGTGCCCTGCCCGGCTGTGCTGCAGCCGCAGCGTGGCTCGTGAGAACATCAGCTGCGGGAACACACAGCCTGCTAGTTGTCAATGCCATTGTAATCTTCTCTAAAATTGACTGACTGTTGTACTAACAGGTGTGGGTTTTTTTTTTTTTCTTTTTGACTTTCATAAAAGAAAGCAGATGTTACATAACTTTTTAAAAATGAAGTTTCTCTCCTTAGCTTGACTTTCAGACTTGCTCCTTAACACCTTTCTTGTTTTAACGGAAAGATGTTTCATCATTGGTGTCTTTGAAAAGCTGTTGTAGTGTTGGCTGTAGGGCTTATAGTGAAGATGATTAAATCCCAACCAATAACCTTTCATTAGTATAAAACTGCCTAGTTATTTGACTAGAAATACCAACGTAAAAATTGCTGTTAGTTACCTTTCATGTTGTCTTTTTTGGACATTCTAGAGATGTTGTGTGCTTGTGGCAGGATCGCTGGTTTCAATGTCCACCTGCTGAGGGAAGCAGGTCATTGTCCCTGAGACCAGGAAGACAAAAGCCTTTACAAAACGAGCCTTTTTGTCACAGGTGTCATCCTGCCCCCACGTCCCATAAGTCACTGCTGCTCCTGCCCCGTTGAGCGAGGAGACAGGGCTGTTGCACTGGCCCGTAGCGCCCTAAGCAGCCTCAAGCTTGGTTTGAAAATGCAGAGGAACATTCTGTGCTTGTAAAATGGCCCGTCCGTCTGGCATGCGCAGAGAGGTTAGGCAGGGGAGTGCAGAACCATCACCATTCCTGCCAACGGTTGTTATCTTGGGCTTCTCTGGGTGTGAGTGGCTGGCCTGCTTGTGCCCTCTCGTGTGCAAGCCGTGCCCAGACAGGACGGGTTCGCAGCTGTCGCCTCAGTGGCCTTTCCTGTGTGTTGCAGGTACTTCTCCCGGCAGCTGGCCTGTTGCAGTTACAGGACGTGAAGAAGACCTGCTGTGAATTTTTGGAATCCCAGCTTCACCCTGTCAACTGCTTGGGAATCCGAGCTTTTGCGGATATGCACGCATGCACAGACCTCCTGAACAAGGCCAACACCTACGCAGGCAAGTGAGAGCCGTTGGGGTGTTCTTCATGGAGTCTCTACAGGTCTCCGTAGGGCTGTGTCCTGTTTCTAGACCTGGATTTAGGAAAGTAAGTGCAAAGTCTTACCTTGAGGGTACAGCATAATGGAAGATTGCCCGTAGAAATAGGTGCTGATTGTTGGGGAATCTGTTGCAGTGTTAACTCACTGACACAGAGGATTCTTCCCTGGAAAAGGTGAATGAGTTTATGCCAACTAAATGACACTTCTTACAAGAATTAATCCTTTCTGCTTTTACGCTTATTATGAACCCTACTTACGTCTTCATAAACTACATGTGAGCTCTCCCTGCTTTGTTGAGAGTTTTTTGTGCTGAGATGAGCTGTTTTTTCCTCAGTTTCCACCAAAACTGTCCATGTTCCTAGAACTGCTAGAGGGGCAGTGCTGTGGTGTGGCACTTTACATTGCCACTTGCAGTGCCTTCTCTCCTGTGGGCAGTGATGGAGACCCAGCTGCCCCACGTGGAGAACCAGCGGAAGATGGCCCAGGGGCTTGTGCCCCAGAGACCCAGGTAAAATTACAGGCTCATGGCCTTGGCCTGGCCCTGCCCTGGCTGTTGTGGGCCATTTGGGGAGGAAATCAGTAGGATATTAACGTTTTCTCTCTCTCACTTTCACTCACTCTGTCTTTTAAATAAAACTTTAAAGAAGTTCATGAGGGTCAGACATTATGACACAGTAGGTAAAGCCATTCCCCTTCAGTGCCAATATCCCATATATGAGTGCTGGCTTGAGTCCTGACTGTTCCATTTCTAATCGGGTTCCCTGTTTATCGCCTGGGGAAAGCATGAGAAAATGGCCCACGTGTTTGGGCCCCTGATGCCCACATGGGAGACCTGGAGACATCTGTTGTCTCCTGGCTTCTGCCTGGAGACAAACTTGGCTGTTGTGACAATCTGAGGAATGAACCAGTAGTTGTAATCTCTTTATCTCGCACTTCAAACAAAATAAGTAAATCGTTTTTTTAAAAAGTTCATGAAAAATTTATACTGTGAAGAAACTGTGTAGTTTCGAAATTTTTGTACTAAAATAACATCCTTAGAGTTCTGTCTGAACTTTAAAAAATTTATTTATTTGGAACCGACATGATGATTCAGTTGGCTAATCCCCCCAGTTTAAGCACTGGGATCCAATATAGATGCTTGTTCGTGTCTCAGCTACTCTTCTTTCCACCCAGCTCATTTCTAATGGCCTGGAAAGGCAGCAAAGAATGGTCCAAAGCCCTGGGCCCTGCATCTGTTTGGGAAACTCAGAAGAAGCTTCTGGCTCCTAGCTTCATGTCAGCTCAGCTCTGGCCATTGTAGCCATTTGGGGAGTGAACCAGTGGTTGCAAGATCTTTCTTTCTCTCCTCTCGGTAACTACATTTCCAATAAAAATAAACTTTAAACACATTTGTTTGAAAGGTGAAGTTACAGAGAGAATCTCATCCACTATTTCACTCTCCAGTGACTACAAGGGCTAGAGTTAGGTCAGCCAGAAGAAGCCAGTAGCTTCCTCCAGGTCTTGCACATGGGTACAGGGGCCCGAGCACATGGAGCGCCTGCTGCTTTCCCAGGTGCATTGGGACAGAGCAGGAAGGGAGCGGGCAGACTCAGCTCAATGCTCAGAGGGGTGCCAGTGTCCCCGGCCACACCACAGCATCCGCCCCTCCCCGAGCTTGCCGAAGCATCTTTTTATAGATGGAAGAATGCATATGTATATCATATGTTGTATGTATGTTTAATGTGTATTGCATATTGATGATACTGTTTCTATGACTGGGAATTGGGCCCTGTTGCAGTTACAGAATTCAGAGAAAAGGAACTATTAACATAGTTAATAGTTAACATAGGACTAGTCTGCTCTTTATTCCTGAAGGCAGATTACTAACGTCCCAGTGAAGCTGTGTGCTGTAAGTAGAATGGTGTGTCACTGTGCGAATGAAAGATTTGGAAATGGAACAGGGTGAGAGCTAGGTTACTGACGGTGGAGAGGATTTACTCAATAGACTCTGGGGTGCCCTGTGTCCTCCCAGGCATTGCGAAGGATGTGAATTATGGGAAATCTGTGCATGAATCTAAAGTGTTTTTGTATCAACTATATCTTAACTTTTTCCATGATTTTCCCCCCTTGTATGTACAGGAAGAGCACGCCCTACAGTAAACTCATTTACACCCGATTTTGCCAGACAGTGGCTTTCATGTTCAGGCTACTCTGCATATTTGTTTTTTCAAACACAGCGCAACTTGGTGTAGGAGTACAGCAACAGCAGGGGTTTTTAAGGAGCAGGCATGTTTTAGTAAAGTGTTACGTGACTTAGAGATAGCTTGAAAGTGTATGTTTTGAATTTGATAATTGATGTGAGGTGATGTACATTTGTTAAAGCAGCCATATTATGATTTTGTCAATACATTTCAACTACTGTAATTAGCAATATGCATGTGGTTTCTCATGGCTTAGTAACCCATTTCTTTTTCTTGCTGAGCAGTGATCCAGTGCTTGGTTGTACTACCATTATTCATCCATTCACTTATAGAAGAGAGATATTTTGTTCAGTTTTGGTAGTTACGTAGAGGACTCTGTCAACATGCATGTTGTACACACAGCACAAGCGTGCACGCACACACAGAGGAGTGAGAAGAATCTAATGTATTACATACAGAAAATAGAATTTGGAACATACAGGTCAGCAAGACTTTGGCTAAGTCTGGAGAATTAAGGTGTTGAGAAAGAAAAGTTACTAAGTTGTTTTGAAAGAGTCTGTTTGTTTTGGCAGAATCTTGCAGGAGAGCTGGCAAGTGCCGACTGGCAGACAGCCATGCTTCTAGGTCAGAAAGCTTACTTTTCTGGTCTAGGATTTATAACTCAGTTTTTGTGTTTGTGTTAACCGCTATTATCAGACCTTGTTATAACCTTTTTACGTGGAGGCATTGTTATATCTGATGTGTAGATAGGGAAATTCAGGAATGAAAGTTGTTTAAAGTCACACCGTTAGTAAGCGGTGGGACCCAAGAGTTCCAACTCAGGTGACCAGGATGCATGGGCACAGAGCCTGCACCCTCTTACTGTGAACTACAGCTCAGGTGACCAGGATGCATGGGCACAGAGCCTGCACCCTCTTACTGTGAACTACAGCTCAGGTGACCAGGATGCATGGGCACAGAGCCTGCACCCTCTTACTGTGAACTACAGCTCAGGTGACCAGGATGCATGGGCACAGAGCCTGCCCTCTTACTGTGAGCTACAGCTCAGGCAGAGCGGGATGCCTGGGCACAGAGCCTGCACTCTCACTGTGAGCTGTATCACTGTGCCTTCAGTGTCCATCAGATGCAGTCCTAGATGTTGAATAAACCTCTTCGCTTACTTCACTGAGGTCTTCTTAAGTAAGGCGTTTCTGTTGTCCTCGCCGTATCAGATGAGGACACCAAGGCTTAGGGGAGTTACCTAATTGCCCACAGTTGTGCAAGCAAGGTCAGGGCAGACGGATTCTCTGCCTGTGGTCCCTGACTCCAAAGCCACAACCGCGTGCCCTTTGAGTTTGTCTTTCATGCATGAGTAATGGATTTGCAAGAAATTTGTAAATAGTGCTCTAATTTTTTTTTTAACTTACCAATAGTATTTATAGAACCTTTTTTGTCTTTGGGAAGAGTGGCTATAATATTGAATCAAGGACGTTTTTCCCCAGTATTATAAGAATTATTAATTTTGCTAGTTTCAGGACATGTCTTTGAGTCTAAGTTATATAGTTTGATTGCCAGATAACTTGTTTACATGGAATTCAGAGCTCTGTATATCATAAACTATCCGTTTAAAAAATACTCATTTGCAAGACAGAGTTACAGAAAGTTACAGAAAGAGGGCGAGACAGGAGGAGAGATCTTCTGTGCTCCACTCCCCAAATGGCTGCAATGGCCAAGGTGGGATCGCCCTGAAACCTGGAGCCTGAACTCCATCCAGGCATGCATTGTAGGTAACGGGAACCAAACACTTCCGTGGCAGGGGCTCAGGCACTTGAGCCACCTTCTGCTGTGTTCCCAGGCATGTTAACAGAGACCTGGACCCAAAGCAGAGGAACTGGGACTTTAGTTGGCGAAGGGATACCCGTGTGACCAGCAGTGGCTTGACCTCTGTCATAATACCAGCCACAGATATGATGGTCATATGTTCAGATAGACAGGCGTTACAGTTTCTTCTGTTTTCAAGTAAAGCAGGATCCCTCCCACCCTTAATCTGTAATGGCCTAGAACCCTCTGCCTTTTATTGCATGATGTATTATGACATGGAACTTACCAGAACTTTTGTACTGATAGTGATTTAAAATAAATATTTAAAATGCCACCATATAAAACAGGTTGAGCTATGATGCGTGGATGTACATGAAGAGCAGCTTCTGGGACTAACAGTGTGGTGTGATGGCTTATCCACTGCCTGTGACACCGTCATCATCATGTGTTCTGGGTCCAGTCCTGGCCACCACCTCCTGTCCAGCTCCCTGCTAATGTTCCTGAAAAAGCAACAGAAGATGGTCCAAGTCCTGGGACCTCTGCACCCATGTGGCAGGCTTGCGTGGAGTTCCAGGCTTACGACTCTGGCCTGGCCCAGCCCTGGCTGCTGTAGCCGTGGGGTAGTGAAGAAGTGGATGGAAGCTGTTGCTCTCTCTCTCGTCTCTCTGTGACTTTGCCTTTTAAATGGCGAATGCATGAATGTTCTTTAAAGAAAAACAAAACAAAGTAAAAAGCTCCATTCCTTTGTTGCTGCTTTGCAGTTGCAGAAACAAAATAGTTGATCTTGCTAATTCTTATGTGAAGTACAGTTAACTTTTTAAAAATTCTTACATTAGGCTAACTTTATATTTTATAAGCAACTTGAAGCTGTGAGAGTGGAATCTTGGTATTAACAGGTTTTCTTTCTCACTCCCAAACAGAGCAGCATTTTGCTGATGTCGTGCTAAGTGAAGAATTTCTCAATCTTGGCATTGAACAGGTGTGCAGCTTGATCTCAAGTGACAAACTCACCATTGCCTCAGAGGAGAAGGTGAGCCTGTCTTCCTTTGCCCAGCGTGTAGTAATACCATATTTCCTTGACTTTGTTTTGTAATTTAGTGATTCTGGTTTGATCTGAAAGACGAGACTCTCAGCCAGTTGACCAGCTGATCGTCAGTATAGATTGCTCTGGTTGTACATGTCACAGCAAGCTCCCTAAATTGTGACATGTTCGAGTGTTGTGCCCTCAGAGTTCTGTGCCGCTGCCTCTCCTGGCTGTGTGTCTTGCTCCCTTGACATCCCGGGCTGCCTTGTCAGTCACCTGCAACTTGAATAAACATGTTTTGAGTGTTTACTCTGAACCAGACACTGTCATAATTTCCTGGATAGGAGAAATGGAATTCTTTACTCATAGATTGGTAGGACAGTAAACAGATGAATAAGTAGATATCAAATGATTTGAAGGGTAGTGTGGGGCCTTTCATTCTGCTGGGAATAGGCTTGAGGGTTTACATGCATGACCCAGATCTTCAAGGTCAGTGTTGGGGCAGGAGTTACTGCCCGGCAGTTAGTACACCTGCAGCCCACAGGGGAGTACAGAGTTGGGTTCCCAGTTCTGGTTCCTCAGCCCAGGCTCCTGTCAGCACACCACGGGAGGCAATAATGGTGACTGAGAACAGATTTCAAAACACCCGTGTTGGACCCTGGCTGAGTTCCCGGCTTCCACCTGTGGCCTGGTCCAGTCAGATGCCCATGTGGGCATTGGGGAGTCAGCCTTTGGGTGGGAACATGCCGTCTTTATTTCTTTCAGTCTCTATACCTGCCTCTTGAATAATATTTTTTATTAAATTAGAAACAAAGTAAAAATGAGTTTGAAGTTTTCTGGGGAGGTAGAGATTCATGGGAATGGAAGGATAGTGGGAGCATATGACAGAGATGTGGAGAAGTGATTTTACTCAGTTTGTTTAGTGGGATGGGCATTTAGAGTATGTTTGTAGAGTGGTAAGAGATTATATCATAAGGTAACATCTCAGCTTAAGGGACATTATCAATGAGGAAGAGTCTCTAAAGGGTTCTTAACCAAGAGAATACCATGTAAGTCCTGAATCCTGGGAATATGAGGGCTATTGTGATGGGTAACAAACCCAGCCCAGTTGAGTTGGGCTGCAGTGGTATGACTAATCCCCATTTATTATCCTATTGATTCTGTGGTCATTACTCATGCAGGGCACAGTGGAGATGGGCTGTCCCTGCTCCGTATTGCCTTCTGCTTTGCAGGGGACAGCCCCGCTGGCTGAATTCCCTGTGCTGCCCCCCACGGAAGCTGTGGGTCCCAGGCTTAGCTCTCCCATGTCTGGCGTCATGTGGGTCTGCAGCACTCAAGATGGCTCCTTCACTCACTTGCCTGGCTTCTGGGTTCCCCCTGCACCTCCCCGACATATCCCTGCCTTTCCTCTGCAGCTCGCTTGACTTTTGTCGTAGATAATGGTTTCAAGTAATCAAACCTCTTACATTGAATGTGGCTTGTCTCCAGTGAGCATTTCAACACATCAAGGTGAAAGCCACCAGGCTTCTAGGGCCCAGCTTCAGAAATTACACAGCACCACTGCCACCCCTCTATGTTGGTAAAACAGGCCAGTTTAGGGTCAGCGTGTGGATTACATCATGAACTTCTGGGTTACAGGAGTTACAATGCATTAGTTCCCATTCATGGGGATCTGCCGTCTGGGTGGTGAGTAGAAGGAACCAAAAGTGGGGTGAGGGCCAGCAGGGGGGCCACTGCTGTCAGTGCCAAGCAGAAGGCTCTGTGAGAGAAGACAGATCGCAGACGGGAAGATGGACTTGACAGGCCGCACACTGTCGGCCCACTTTTTGACTTCCAGCACCTGGCACATAGAAATGCACGGTAATAATTGCATACAGAATGATTTAAAGAGGAAGGTTAATTATAATGTGTTTTATTTTTAGTGCCTTGCTCTTTTCCTGTATCAAAATAATATGCATTCATTCCCAGAGATCTATTTGCATATCGCCAAACATTTTTACAATCCGTTAGAGATTATCAGGTGATACACACGTCAGTTTGGAAGGAAATGATATAGACGATCATCATCTTCACAAGAATATATTAACTTTCTCCTCAGTATGTATTATAAGTAGTAATGCCCTTCTGATGTAGCTTGTAAAAACTTCACCTTAAAGGGAAGTGTTCGATGTGTCTGTTGAGATACTGCTTGTGCTGCCTGCGTCTCTTACTGGACTAACAGGGTCAGGGCTCGGTTCTGCTTCTGACTCTGTCTTCCTCCCACGTGCTTGGAGCCCTGCCCCCACGTGGGAGACAGGACTGAGCTCAAGGTTGCAGCCTTCAACATGGCTGAGCATCTGAGTAAGCCAGGACACGGGAGATACTTGCTTCTGGCTCTTCTAAACAGTTTTAAGTTTGAGAATATTGCATTTTAATATATTCTATTACAGAGTTAACCTATTCTGCAGATGCTTGATTTGTTTGGTAAAAATATTTGAATGGCAGAGTTGCATTTAGTTCACTCTCACGATGGCCAGGGTTGGGCCAAACCAAAGCCAAGAGCCAGAAGTTTTCCAGGTCTCGCACAAGTGCAGAGGTCCAAACTCCTGGGCCATCTTCTGTTGCTTTCCTAGTACATTGGCAGGGAACTTGGTTAGAAGTAGAGCAGTCAGGGCTTGAACCAGTGTCCATCGGGGAGGCCAGTGTCACAGGCAACGGCTTTAACTGCTACACTGCAATGCGGGCCCCTGGAACCAGCATTGCATTGTTATTCAGTATTTTTAAACTTAAAGAAAAAGCTGAAGATGAATTGTTAAAAAGGATATCTTATCTTCATTTCAAAATATAACTTTGATTTATTATTTTGGGTACTTTATACCAGAGGGACTTGAGAAATTTAAATCTAGGTAAGTAGAACAGAATTCAATTTGCAAAGTTTATCTGTGGTGAAATAGATCACATGTTAGATTATTATAGTAGTACAGTTTTGGTAAGATTAGGTAAGGTGCCTATTAAAATGTTCAACGAATGCCAAGTGAATAAAGTACTTGTTAAATACGGAAAGCTACTGAAAGTGCTTAATGAAGTACTTACCCAGTGGCTCCGTGAGCACATTGCGGGTTAGGGTTTAGCAGATACTCTACCCATGAGTTAAACGTGGGTGTCTCAGTAAGACATGAGGCGTTTTTCCAGATATCTTGGCACAAAGCTCATTTGTACTTTATCCTTTCCTTGTGTTTCCTGCAAGGTGTTTGAAGCTGTAATAGCATGGGTGAACCATGATAAGGATGTGAGGCAAGAGTTCATGGCTCGGCTGATGGAACACGTGCGCTTACCTTTGCTTCCCCGGGAGTACCTGGTTCAGGTAAATGCATATGCCAAGCACTTGACAGTGGGTGGCTCCGCCCCCTGCATGGCACTCAGGGCAGACCATGGCACACAGGAAGGAGCACAACTTTGAGGGCTGCCTCTCCTAAAACCGTGCTGTGTTCTTAGATATCCACTCCCTCTCTGATTTCTGATTTGATTTGAACAACTACTACAGCTTGCTTAGCTGGTGTTTGGACTCAGGAAAACATAGGAAGCACACTACAACGTATAGACATAGATAAAGACTTGTTAGAAAAGTCACCAAAAGCATAGGCAGTCAAAGCCAAAATAAATAAATGGGACGACAGCATTTAAGACGCTGCTATACAGCAAAGGAAGCAATCAATGAGCAAAAAAGGCAACCAACAGATAGGCGACTAATATCCGGGAATTACAAGAAGCTTTAGAACTCAGAGACAGCAAAACAAACAACCTGTGAAGAAATGGAGAAGGAAATGAACAGGTGTTTTTCAAAAGAAAAATTCTAATAACTAATAGACATAGAAAAAAATGTTCAGGCTGTCCAGCTGTTGGGGAAATACAAATAAAAACCACACAGAGGTTCCACCTGTCTCCAGTGAGATTGGCCTACATTCAGAACTCTACTAACAACGCCTGCTGGTGTGAGGTGGAGGGATTACCTTATTTCACGCCCTGTGGGAGTGTAGGCTAGTGCAGCCATAGGAAAGACAGTACGGAGAGTGTTCAGACACGTGCAAATCAATCTACTGTAGGACCCAGCCGTCCCACCCCTGGGCATATATCCACAGAATGAGAAGTCTGCATATGAGAAAATGACCTACAGTCATGTTTGTAGCAGCAAAATCATAATACCAAAGACATGTTAAGCAGCCCAGATGCCCACCAAAAGAGAAGTCAACAAAGAAACTGTGGTGCATCTACTCCATGAAGCATCACACCGCCATTGAAAAGAATAAAATTCTACCATTTGCAATAAAATGGCCACAACTTGGGCTCGGTTAACTACGTGTTCGTAAACATTATGTGGCCATTCTGTTCAGTGAAGTAAGCCAATCCCCAAAGGACAGATATTATATAGTCTATTGTATATATGTATATACACACACACACATTCATAGATAAATTGTATAATGGGAACCAGCATACTGACAGGTGAAGATACGTTGCAGCATGCATCTCTGCTCTCGAATAAAATGAGTACGCCCGAAGAAACTGCTAAATGTGTTTTGATAATAGGATGCTAGGTTTTCCACCATTGCCTGTACCTCTTCTGCCATGGTGTGCTTAAATAACAGTGAACACAGTGGGGGAAGACGAGGAGGAGGGGAAATCCTCAAGCCTGCAAAACCGTATCATGGCAAATAACAAGAAAAAGGTTTTAAAGAGATTAAAAAGGTGTATTTGTACAGTGATTCTGTTGGCCTTGTTGACAGCCACAGCCCGTTTCCGAGGTCCTGGCTTTGAGCTTCAGCCCCTTTGCTTACGATCCAGCCTCCTGCTGACTTGCACGTTGGAAGCCGCAGGTGCTGGCTCAAGAAGTGACTTTCCTGTCCCCCAACGCCAGCTTCAGCCTTGGCTGCTGCAGGAATTTGAGAAGCCCAGCAGAGGGAAGGCCTCTGTACTGAAAATAGTTCATAATTCAATGGTAGTTTTAAAAATATGTGTAATGCATGCTTTTAAGGATCTGCACATGTGCTTTCCTCTGTGGGTCAGGGCTTGCGTATTTTTTTCCCTTACTCGTAAGTTTCCACCTATTGCATTCTACACTGAAACAATGAGGATGGTTGCTGCTTTTTGCCTCTTCTGTCCCGCTGGTGGCTTTGTCATGAAGTAGCCGTCCCTCACAGTGCGTGTCTGCTGCTTTCCGACAGAGGGTGGAAGAGGAGGCGCTGGTCAAGAACAGCAGTGCCTGCAAAGATTACCTCATTGAAGCGATGAAGTACCACCTGCTGCCCAGCGAGCAGCGCGTGCTGATGAAGAGCGTACGGACGCGCCTGAGGACGCCCATGAACCTTCCCAAAGTAGGACCTGCTGTTTGTACTCCTTAGCACTCCCAGACAGCCACAGTGATGCCAGCTGCTCATTTTGTGTTCGTCTGTCTCCACGCTTGATCAGTCTAGTCTCCCTGCCAGAGACTGTGCATGGTGGTGTTAAAGTCCAGCCTCCATTGACTTTCTGTCTCAGCGCGAGGATGGTTCAACTCAGTTAATCTTTTTATCAACTGCGTGATGTCACTCGTGGGGAACAGAAGGTTGCTCGTTTCTGCCCCTTCTGAGTCGAACTAGCTGTTTTAATGGTAGAAAGAATAGTTAAGCTCAAAAATTAGACTAGGAAGGGAAACTTCTGCGGGAGTTATGTTTTTGCGTAACTGAAAACCCAGTATTCCACAGAATGTGTTAGCGCCTCAGCCGGCGGCCTTCCTGTTCTGATTTGCACACCACTTGCTGCTTCCTACACGCTGTGTGTGGTCACTGAAGCGTGGATTTCTCGTGTGTCTAGATCTGCAGTGTTTAGATTTTTCTATGTGAAAGTTCGCATTCTACGGTTATCTTTGCATTTGCGGCCATCGTGTTTGGTTTGATCTTGTGGACCGAGTGACCCGTCGCTTCTGTCTCTGCTGGCAGTCCTTCTGCCCGTTTGTCTCTGCAAGGAGCAGCCTGTGTGTGTGACTTGTCACAGTGATCCACTTTCTGCCACGTTGACTTATGTGTGTATTTTAACTCTTGTGTGTGTTTGGGGTAATACCAGATGAAGAATCAGAATCTATCTGTTGTTTTCTTATCATTTTTAGTTTCTTACTCTCTCCTTCCCATTCACTTCTTTTATTTCAATGCTTTTATTTACGTTTTATTTTCAAGTTTTATTTTTGGAGTCTACATTTTTAAATGTTTCAAATCTACACTGGTACTGTTTTCCTGTATTTCCCAGTGTTAACAGTAGTCCTCAATTCAGAGCTAACTGTAGATTTTTGCCAGCATATTAGTAGCTCAGTTATTGAGGTCATAAGCTAATGTTAAAATGTGTGATGGACCCAAGTAATCTCTGTGCTGACACCTTAGTGGACACCCCCACCAGCCTGGTCCCTTGTGGGAAGGTCCTTAGTGGACACCCCCACCAGCCCGGTCCCTGGTAGACAGGTCCTTAGTGGACACCCCCACCAGCCCAGTCCCTGGTAGACAGGTCCTTAGTGGACACCCCCACCAGCCTGGTCCCTTGTAGACAGGTCCTTAGTGGACACCCCCACCAGCCTGGTCCCTGGTAGACAGGTCCACTCGTGTGCTGACACCTTAGTGGACACCCCCACCGGCCCGGTCCCCAGTACAAAGCTCCTCCTGTGTGACCACGTCCAGCATACAGGCCAGCAGTGACTGAGTGGCCGGGAGCATTGAGTGAGAGGGAGGCCCCACTAGACACAGACTTGGCAGGATTTCTTTCACACACCCTTCTGTTTCACCCCTAGAGATTTGAATGCTTTGCTCAAAATCTTTCTAACTTTTTACTAAGTTATCACTTAACGAAAGGCATCATTTAACAAGGCGTTCACTTCCTATCCTGTTTTAAAAACTGGTATTTGCCTTTTTAAAATTTTCTGATCTCTCCTCAGTTCTCCAAGATTTTTCAAAAATAATTGTAAGTGGCTCAGTAAGTACATTAGCTAGTTCCCTAAATTCCTTAGTATGCATGTCGTCTGAGCCTGCTGACTTTCTGTTCACATTGTCCAAATACCCTGCACCTGCTGCAGTAAGTAGCCATTTATAAGGCTTCCTCACGTCATAGTCGTCTGTGTTATTTGGTGTCAGCTTCTGTTCTCACAAAAAAAATTAAGTTATAAAATGTGTTCCAAGTCTTGGCCAAGAATTTCAAATCACCACTTTTTTTCAAACAAATCTCTGCAATTTCTTTTTGAGTAATTTCTTCTTAAAGATAAGTAGTAAATATTTCATCTTTGTTAAAAAGCAAACAAAACAGCGTTCTTGATACTCTCTCTCCTGGAGTTGTTGGCTGTGCTGCTGAGACCCCGCTGGGAAACAAGTTCATGTCTGATTTTTCCTGTCATATCTGAAGGCCTTCTGAAGCATCCTTAGGAAACTTGCTGCGAGTTGTTCTTGGTTAGGCATTTGGTGCGTTGGTGGTCAGCTCTTGAGTTCAGATGCTTCCCAGGCCTCTCTGGTTGCTGCTTTGGGGCATCGTTGCCAGTGGACGTGTTGGCACTCAGGCTTGCTTTTGTGATGGGAGTGTTCACCTCTGGGGCTTTCTTCTTTTCTGCCCTGCAGCCGGGGGTGAGGGCGTGAGCAGGCCTGCTGCTGTCTCTGCTTTGCGTTTCTGCCTGCAGGATCCCTTCTCCATGCGCGTTTACCCGTGCACGTTTTCAGAAGGGTGCCTGTGCTGGATACTGTTTGAGCAGCACCATTTGTCAGTTTGCAGTACTTATATTTAAGAGTAACTCTTAAGAATGAGAATGAAGTGAAGTAAGATTGAAATAAGGGTTCATTTCTTACGCTTTTTATTTCCTGGTAAAGATACATTTAATGATAGTAAGAAGTTGGATCAAACAAAATGTGATAGTAGTGCCTGGGAGATGATTGTAGAATTTTGATAATATAGATTTTTTTTTAAGCACTGCAATGACTTAGTACTCTTATATTGGGCTTTGATTTTGTGACTTTAAACTAACTTGCTTTGTTTTGCATTCCCATTAAGTAGTACTTGGATTGTTTTGAATATCATAAAAGATCTACTTTGGAATCTGCATCACAGATGCTCTCAGATTTGGAAATATATAGGGGCTTTTTTATATGTTTACCTAGAATACATTTTGGAAATTCTGATTAGAAATTTGTGAAACTTGGCTTTTCAGGAGAAGATATTTACTGTTTAAAAAAAGTCACGGAAAAGGAAAGAGCAGAGTACTTGAGCCGCACTTGAGGATTGGTCCCTTGGGTGTGCCTCAACTCCCTGTCCCTTGCCTTTCTCCACGTGTTTACATTTCACTCTTCTGGACAAAAGGGCCTGTCTGTTTTCTGCTGCCTTGTGCATGGTCAGTCCGCTGCTGCTCTGAGGGGATGCAGGGACTTACGGCGAGCTGGGGCCCAGTGGTAAGGCAGTGCCCTGGCTCAGAGTGTTGCAGCTCTGGTGGTTTCATGCAGCTGTCCCTGCTGGCCCTTCTCCCCGGCCCTCCCCGTGAGCTCCCCTGGCTCTTGTCTCTCTGCTTCCTGGAATGCCAAAGCTCAATGTGTTTCACTTCTTTCGGGTGAGTAAAGGGCAAACACTGCTACCCTTCTTGTTTTCGTGTTGATGTGCCAAAGTAACCTGTTGCACAGAAAATCCTGAGATGCAAAGTTTGAGAAATTGTGAGATCTTTGCATGAGAATGTTTTCTCAAGGATTGTTCAGAGTGTTGCCGTCCAAGATATTTCAGAATTAATGTGCACTGAATGCCTCATCCATGCCCCTGTCAATGTTGTGAAAGGATGGGGCGGGGTTGGAAGTTTCAAACGTCATTGCTAAGGATGAGCTAGATCTTAATTTGTATTCGGCTCTGGAGCTCCATACTCCCCCTGCCTGCCCCACCTCACCATTGCCTGGTTCTTTTTGTTTTGATGGTAGGAGGGTCAAGTATTGGAACTTTTCTTTGTTAATGCTTCATTTTATCTGATAACTAACCTGAAAAACACATTGTGCAGTTGGTCCATGTTCAGTCTTGTTTAAAGACCTTTCTGTAGGTTCTTGGGCAATGGAGATATGGCTCATAAGTCTTCCGTAGAATGCTTTTCCTGGTCCTGGCCAGATAGCGATGGCGGGCACCTGGAAACGGCTGCGGAGGAAACGTGTGGGCCTGCTTTATTCTCAGCAGCAGGCTGATGTGAACTCACTCACTGTGGTTTCTGCCATGGCTCTTCTGTCCTGCCGGGCGGCTTTATTCACGGGGCATACGGGGAGATGTGTTCACTTGCAACCTAGAAATCTGTACTCTTGTTAATTCCATTCACTGGCTCTTCCTTCTTCTATCGATTTGTTTCCCTTTTTTCTCTTCTTCCATCTTCCTGTAATACCTTGGTGTCTTTCTTGCCTCACCCATCCAGTAACAGCTTTCATTTCTTCAGCCTGTTCTCCCGTGTGCTGATGTTGTAACCCCTGGTCTTGGTGAAATCAGGATCTTGTCTTTGGCAAACCCTTTGACATCCCGGAGCCTTGTCAACGCTAACTGCTAGCTGTTTTTTTGTTTGGTTTGTTTTGTTGGCTTAAATACTGCTTTTGCTTGAAGGATTAGAAACTTATGTTTCAGTTTCTGAAATCCTTATTTTTGACAGAATGTGCTAGATAATAGCAGTAGTTCCAACCTGTGCCCTCTTGTTGACGCTTTCTCGGTGTTGGTTAGGTGGTTGTTCCCCTGGCTCACCCTGCCATCTTCACTTCTTAATGCTGCCCACCCCGTGTCTTTGTAGGACTCAGAAATCCCTGAATGTGAGAACTGTGTGTTCAAGTGTCTCCACTTCTGCCTTTGCAGCTGATGGTGGTGGTTGGGGGCCAAGCACCAAAGGCTATCCGAAGCGTGGAATGCTACGACTTCAAGGAGGAACGGTGGCACCAAGTCGCGGAATTGCCTTCCAGGAGGTGCAGGGCAGGTGAGCAGGGTGTGCGAGGTGTTGCTTCCCTACGGCAGAGACACTGAGCCTTTCTGCGGGGTCTGACTTGAGCAGTTAGGAGAGTTCCAGTTAGGAAATAGTGGTTCAAACGTCTCACTGACCACCTTGATGGGGAGAGCTGTTCCGGCTTCATCTTTACATTTTTGTGTTGTCTTGGGCATTATGATTTTATATCTTTGAAGCTAAGGATTAATTTCTGGCATAGTGAAGTCATAACTCTAAAATTCTCTATATTTTGAAAAACTTCATTTAAGATAAAATTTCCTACAGAATGCCGACACAGAAAGTTCTGATGTAATTGTTCTCTAATACAGATACCTCATAGCTATGCACAGTTGGCAACACTAAGGAATCAGCTTTGGCACATTATTCATAGATAAAGACTTCATCCAGACACCATCAGCTGTTCTATTACTACCCTGACTCTGTTCCAGGAATCCACATCCACACTGCACGTAGTGGTCACATTTTCTGATGTCTGATGACTTCTCAGGTTGGAGTCCCTCACTGTGCGCACCGTTAGATCCTATGGTGCTTTCTAGGCATGGTCGTGATCACGTGCTTAAGGCGCTATGTTGCGTTTCTCCCTTTGACAAAATCAGAGTTTCTATAACATGAATTTTTCTAATAATTTCACAGGTCAGTTTTTCCTCTTCTTGTTTAAACTATCTGGTCTGTGTTTTGGCATAGCTAAGGCATAGATCTTGCTTTTACCATGACTAACCGGTTGTCCTAACATCTTTTATTGACTAACCTGCTTGTTACCACTCAATTTCCACATCACTTGATTTTGTTCTGAATTTCCTGTTCTTTCCATCACTCGTTCCTGTTTATACACCATGATAAAGTGGCTTTATTTGCTGTGTTTTATAATAAAATGGAACGGGAATTGTAGGATAAAGGGGTTGTGATACCGTCCCTGCCTGATGACAGTGGATCAAACTTCACGCTCATCAGACACTTAGAGATGGTGATTCAAGTTCTCTCTCCTGGGATTCATAAAGTGGAACTTCACTGCCTACCTACCGTCTGGTGCAGAGACAGACATCCCCTGAAGAACCGTAGGGCCGGCTTTGTGGCATCACGCATCAGGCTGCTGCCTGGGAAGCCAGAATTCCATGGGGGTGCCAGTGTGAGACCCAGCTGCTTCCTTCTGATCCAACTCCCTGCTAATAGTCCAAGTGCGTGGGTCCATCCATGCCAGAGACCCGGAGGAAGCTCTGGGTTCCTCACTTAAGTCTGGCACAACCCCAGCTCCTGCGGGCATTTGGGGAGGGCAGCAACAGAGGAAAAACTTTAGTCTCTCCCTTTCCCTTTTTCAGTGTTAGTTCTGCCTTTCAAATAAATAGATTTCAAAAAAGAGAGAACAGTTAAAATTGAACAATTTGGAGAAATTCTCTTGTAGACTGTGTAAGATTTATTAAACTTCATGTTTGGTATGTGGTTGTTTCTTGCTTTGGGGTTTCAGGAACTGGAAGTTAGCCCTATAGATTAAAATGAGCCACAGGAGGCCTCTGAGATAGTGAAACTTCAGCTGGGGCATAAATATTACAGAGTAGATCCAGAGAGGAGCTTCCCAGATCAGGGGAACGGCGTGGCAGAGCAGTGGAAACCCTGAGTGCAGCAGGCTCCCTTCTCTGTCTAGGGATCAGCACACTTTCCCCAAGGAGAGCAAGGACTGCAGGTTAGGGCTTGCAGGTTTGCCTGGCCCCCTGACTCAGCCGCCTCTGCTGCAGAAGCAGTCAGCCGTGTGTGAATGGGTGACGCTGGGTGACGCTGGGTCCCATCGAAACCTGACTCATGTCTGAATCACACGTAGCTTTTTACAAATGATGAGATAGTCTTTTTTTTTTTTTTTGGTTGTTTTTCAGTCATTTAAAAAAATGCAAAAATCATTCTTAACTCAGAGGTTTACAGAACAGATCGTTGAGCTGGAGCAGCTGTGGACCGGTTGCCCTCTGAACACACCAGCATGACGAGCCAGGGCAGTGTTACACAACAGTGTAAAGCAGAAACACACAGCTTCAGTTCTCAAAGGTCCACTAGGGGATCCCGGATGGAGGGCCACGGGAGATACCTACAGGTCCGAGTATTTGGAAACTGTTGACCATGTTTTAGGTTTGCAAATAAACTTTGGAAAAAGCCAGGAATCAGAGAATACCTTTGACCATGACAGAAAGGAGGTGTGCCAGTTGTTGCACAGGAATAGCGTGGTTTTAGAACCAGTTAAGCAGATCTCCCCGCCCCTGCCCCCCCACCCCCGCGTCCTGACGGCAGCTGTAAAGTGCAAAACAGTCTCTAGAGCGTGCCAGTTGCACTGCCTCCTCATGCTGCGTGCCTTGGTTCCTCCACAGGGATGGTCTACATGGCTGGGCTGGTTTTCGCCGTTGGCGGCTTCAATGGCTCGCTTAGAGTCCGAACTGTGGATTCCTATGACCCCGTGAAGGACCAGTGGACCAGCGTGGCTAACATGCGAGACCGCAGAAGCACCCTGGGGGCCGCCGTGCTGAACGGCCTGCTCTACGCCGTGGGCGGCTTTGATGGCAGCACAGGTAAATCCCTTGGCATCGTCCCTCGTTGCTGTTGGAACTAACGCAGCAACCACATGCACAGAACAGATTGTGACAAAGTTAGGATAGACTTAAATGTGTTAACAAGTGGGAGTGTCATATTTAAAGGTAAGCTTGAAAATTGCCTCAAGAATCTCTTGAAATGTTGTGTGGAGTGCTGACTACGTGTTCTTCCTGAAGCATCAGTATCAGTCATCTTGCCAAGTTTAAAAAGCTTTGAAATGTCAGTAGCTTGGGTAGGACCCCCTGGAAAGAAACTATTCCTGCTCATCACGTAATGGATGTGTTTACACATTGCACCATTTTCTTCTTTAAGTTTAGCTCAGTATAGCATATGTGAAGTGTTTTCTGCTGACAATATGCATGTAAAAGAGTGGTTAGGTTTTTCTCAAAGGAGGAAATGAAGAGCACATCTCTGTTGCAGGTTTATCGTCTGTGGAAGCGTATAACATCAAATCCAACGAGTGGTTCCACGTGGCTCCGATGAACACCAGGAGGAGCAGTGTGGGTGTGGGTGTTGTTGGAGGTGGGTGCTGCAAGTTCGAGGTGAACATGTGCTTCTTGGCTGCAACAGTCTACTCTTAGCAATGTAAAATATCACCTTAAAAAGAAAACTAGTAGTTACTGTAGAATTTAAACTGTCTTTTACAGAGTAACTCATCTATAAAAGTTAAGCCTTCACTTGTGTGTGGCCATCTCACCCCACTCCCTGTCTCTTTCTTCCCTTGTGGCCTGTACCCCACTGTCAGCTGCTCGCTCTGTTTTTTAAAGCAGCTTGCTTTGTTTTGGAGGCAGACAGACAGTGGTATTGCTTGATGGCTGTCTGCTGGTTCCCTCCCCAGCTGGCCACAGCGGCTGCCACAGGTTCATGCTGAAGCCAGGAGCCAGAAACTCCATCTGGGTATTCCACGAGGGAGGCAGGGGCCCATGCGCTTGGGCCATTCTCTGCTGCTTCCTCAGGCACACTCACGGGGGTTGGATTAGGAGCAGAGGGGCTGGGAGTTAAACAGGCTGTGGCTTAACCACATGCTGGCCCCATCAGTTGATCATTTTTTTTTTGCTTGTTTCAATGTACCGTTCCATAGGCTCAGGAATTTCTCCTTCCATCCTCCCTCTTTACACTCCCCACACTCCCGCTGTTTCCCCATGTTATTGTAATAGTGTAGTCCTTCAGCAGCAGTCACACGTCCCTTATTTTTGTATTTATGTGTATCTTGACATTGTAGGTTTAGACAGTGGTAGAGAGTCCAGCACCCTACTGTCAAGTGTCATAGGGAATCCGCCTTTTATTCATGTGATCTTAGTTCAACCATTTGGGGAACAGGTCAGCTGACATGTCTGTACGACTTTTCTGGAAAAGGGCTGTTAACTTTTAAGAGGTAGGTTGCTGGAATGACTTATGTCCTAGTAGTTTGTTCCCTTACAAAACTTAAGGAAGGCTGTAAATGTTAGCCCTTAGTGTTCGCTTGTTTTCACATACTGGATTAGTACAAGTTGTGGGTTTCTGCGCCCTTTTTAATGGGTCTATTTCTTGGCACTAAGACTTTTTTTCTTCTTGAATCTTTATTGTTAGAACGTGTTTGGGTTGCCTACATGCTACAGCATACTGTGATGGGATCCCTGTGTTTCCGTGTCTGTTTCCTGCTCACTCACTGTCTGGAAGGCAGTAGTAACATCAGGGTTTGGTCCCTGCCCACCAGGGGAAGATCTACATTGCCCTAGCTCCTGGCTCCTGTGTTTGGTCTGGTGCAGTCCCGGTGGGTGGGAAGTTTACTGTTGTCTCCCAATCGCTCACATTAAATAAATAATAAATACACTTTCTATATCATGCAGTTTAACTATTTAATACAAAGCTCTACGCATGTGTCACCACAATTCATTTTCGATTAGTTTTGTTTCTCCCAGAAAGCAGCCCTGCTTACCTGCATCCTTGCCACCCCCTGAAGCCTCCTGTGCCTCCTGTTACTGTGGCACCTTGTTCCTTCTGGACGTTTCCGAAATGCAAAGTCAAGCAGTCTTTTTGGTCCTTTGCGACTGGCTGCTTTCACACTGCACAAGGCTTCCAAGGTTTTTCGTGCTGTAGCATTGATGGGGACTGCATAGCTTTTCATGATCAAATAGTATTTCATTGCAATACAATGTTAACTGTTGATCTTACTTTACTGAGGTGGCATGTTTAATTCTGTTTTCCATGATGTTAGCCATGCTGCAAATAACATTAGTTAGAAGATTAACAAGGTTACATTTTCCTCCAGATTGTTGATAGAAATGTGTATACTCTGCGCATCTTGCATGTTAGGGTTTGGTCCTTCTGCATCTCACCACTAGTCTGAATCTTTAGTAGAGTTCCCCAAAACTAGTAACACTTAAAGGGTAAAGTGTGCTGCCTTGGGCTCACATACATTAATGTATGACTTGAAAACCTGGGTTCTTTCCTTGTGCTTCCACGTTTAGGCTTGCTCTATGCAGTGGGGGGTTATGATGGAGCCTCCAGGCAGTGTCTCAGCACCGTGGAGAGCTACAACGCCACAACCAATGAGTGGACCTACATAGCAGAGATGAGTACGCGGCGCAGTGGAGCCGGTAGGTGGCGCCTCCCTCTGTCACCGCAGAGGGCTTCCTCATGAACAGCTTCACTGGTACCCCCTTCCCTTAGCTGAAAGTACTGGCTGATATTAATGTCATTCTACATAGCTATTGGATTGTGTGGGTAATGGTGGGTAGCACTTTTGCAAAATAAAATGCTATATGACTTGTATAAATAAGTTGTTGGGCATTTCTGATGTGTTTTTGATATGATGTTTTGGGGGGAACTTGCCGAATAATCAAAATTGCTCATACCTGTTCCTTATAAATTTTATGTGGAAGTTGTCTTAAATATCACCTTAAAGAACTTTTCTCCTTTGTGGTTTTCTCCTCCATATTATTTCAAATTCTATTTGACATGCTCTCTTTTTTAGAGTAATAGACTTTACCGAATTCATTGTCAAGTCTGTTGACATCCCATTCTCAAGTTGTATGCTTTAATACTGGGTTAAATTGTAGTTCCACCTGGATGTGCCCCACTATGTTCTCATCCCTTTTGTGCTGATACGGTTGATTGGTTGTGTTTTGCAGGAGTTGGTGTATTGAACAACTTGCTGTATGCCGTGGGAGGCCACGATGGCCCTTTAGTACGAAAAAGTGTCGAAGTATATGACCCCACCACCAATACCTGGAGGCAGGTTGCAGATATGAACATGTGCCGAAGAAATGCAGGTATTTTTTATCTTGAGATTTATTTTTAATTTTATTTGTGCTTTGCTGCCATCACTGTTTTATGGATCTGGGTTCCCTGGTAGCGTTTGAACTGTGTGAAGGCAGGTGCTGATACAATGATCATGGCTGGCCATGACAGCTTGTTGTGGCAGTCCTCTAACTTGCTGATTCTCTGAACTACCACTTCTTATGCTGCTGGGTCTGGGGACCGATCTCCATTTAACTTACTCATTCTTACCACAGGCATTTAGAGCACACTACCATGTATCTTACTGGAGAGTCTGGTTCTTGGGGAATATGTTCCAGTGAAAAAAAGTATTTATCTCAGGTTAAAAAACTGATTGTCTGAATCTGGAGGGAAGACTAGAAAGGTATCTGTGATGCCATTTAGGCTTTCCAGGAAATGGAAAAGCTAAAACCACGGCCACTGCAGCAAGGCAAATCTGAGAAAGTAGAACTGGTCAGTATTAGGGAATTCACTCTAAGGAATTGTTTGCTTGCTGGTGGGTAAACAGTATGAGAAATGCGATTTAATCAATGCCATTTATCAGTTACGTGACTGTCTCAGTGTATCCCCACCCTGATGGGTGTCAGACCTTGGTCACTTGTCCACGCCTAGGCTGCTGGGACTTAACTCAGCACACTCTTTGGCCTCGTACTTCTTTGGGTTTAAAGTACACTCTGAACTTACTCACTGACTGTGATGATCAGGTGTGCTGTACGTATCCGTACCTGACGGGCAGCAGGCTGGCAGTGTGTACAGCGGCAGCATGGTCACACAGGCTGGGTGTGTGCCAGTTCCTAGCACGTAAAGCCGTTTGGAAAAAGGATACCGACAGATTGAACAGCTTTCTCTGGTGTCTCTCTGCTAGGCCTTAGGAAAAGACTTTGAAGTATCTGCGAAAGGGCTGTTAGTCTGGGCGACATTGTGCTTGCTTCGGGAATCATCAGGAAGAGCAAAACACGAAGCTTAGTCTGCAGCCTAACCGACTAAGTGTATTTTCTGCATGGGTCTGCTCCTGCGTGCTGTGAGCTGCTCTGGATTTAAATGAGGAAGTGTCTGAGTATACATGTGTAAAGAAAAATAGCCAGAGTGGATATCTGAATTTTAATGGTCATTATTCTAAGTGGTGTGAGATCAAAGGTGATTTTTTCTTGATATTTTTGAATTTTTACCAAAAAAACAGGGGTAGTTATTCTATTGACTCCCAAGCACGTGAAGCACTTTCACGGGGCCTGGCCTGAGCCGGAGCCCACAGTTCGTGCAGGGTGCGCCTGTCGGCGAGCTGTCGGCTGGGTGCTGTGTCAGTGGGAACCTTCAGTGGGAACCTTCAGTGAGAACCTGGGGCTACACGCCAGAACCGGGAATTGAACCCAGGGACCTGGCCCTGGGACATAAGCTTCCTGTCGACTAGGCTAAGTGCACAGCCTTCTCTGGCCTCTCCTATGTGTCAGTGGGTCATCCTACACGCACGGGAATGCTCACTGTGTCCTCTCTGATTTTCTGAAGGTGTTTGTGCAGTGAATGGCCTGTTATATGTGGTTGGTGGAGATGACGGCTCTTGTAACCTGGCATCAGTGGAGTACTATAACCCAACTACCGACAAGTGGACGGTCGTGTCTTCGTGTATGAGCACAGGGAGGAGCTATGCAGGTAACAGCTCTCATTTCCGGGACTCCTGCAGTCCGTACAAAATGACGTTGTGATTCTTACGTTAGGCTTGTTCTTAGGAAGAATTCTTCCTCAAAGTATATTTTATATCTTAAAACAGTTACCACGGAGTGTGTATGTTCCGAAGTAAAGCATCGATATTCATTTGGCTTTCTATGGTAGTTTATAGTCAAAAACCCCGAATCTTTGCAGCACAGAATGATGTCCTGTGATTTCCTGTCCAAGCCTGCGTGTGGGAGAGGGCGTTGCACTGTGGCCAGGCGGCATGAGGCGCTCATCTAGCTTGTGCAGTGATTTTCCATTTTTAAGCATAATACAGGTTAAATTATAAAATACCATTTTAAATCTGTTGTGTTAGTAACATAAACTGTAGTAGTCCTTAAAAACTGTTATATGCTAATTATTCTGATGATATTTATATTGCTTTAATTATTAGAACGTAACAAACCTGGTGCAAAAATGTAGTGAAAGGTTTCTGTGAATTAACCATCGCCGCTGGTTAACCATCCAGAGCAGTCCAGGAATTAGATATTCAATGGCATTCCAAAGTTCCATGGCTCAGCATTAAGCGAAGCTTTTTCAGTAGCTTCATTTCATAGCTGGTATAACTGACAGGATAAATACTCTTTATTTAAAGTGTACAGTATTTATTACTTTTGGCTTCTGGAATAGCCATGAAAACATCACCACATTCAAGGGAACGAATGTTAGCTGCCTCCTTCGAAAGCTTCTTGGCCCGTTAGGTGACTTTCAATATTGTGTGTAGCAGAACAACAAGCAAAAGACTAGTTTTAGATGAAATAATCTCAAATATTCTGGTTCCAAACTAAACAGAAAGCCTACTGCTTAATCGTTCAGATTAAAACGATGGCGCCAAACGTGGAGGAACAAGACTGTAAGGTCGCCATGTGTTCAGTCCCTACTCTGTAAGGAATCCAGAGATGCCGGTCCTGCCTGTGCCGCCTGCTTACTTCTTCCTGTCTTTCTCAGGAGTCACAGTTATTGATAAGCCACTATGAAGGGCGTCCTGAGCAGAGTCACCCACGAGGAAAAGGCTTCCACAAGCATTTCTGCAGTGACTGGGCATCTAGCACTTCTCCACTTGTAGCTGCACTTTAAGTCTCAGCAGAAGACAAGCTCTCTGCCTTTCTAGGCCTCGGTTCCTGAAGATTATTTTCGGTCGAAGCACCGTGTGGGCTCTTCCTGCACTGAGCAGCAGCTGGCTGGATTTCAGCGAGAACCCCGGGCTGCCGGCCTCCCCCTGGAGTTCTCAGACTCTGGCTTTCCTAAAGACCACTTCTTTTCATCCGGGAGTGACCAGCGATTATTCTGTGAGGAGGAGGAAGTAATATGTGTTCTTGTAAAATTAAATTTAATCTTTATTCCTTATCTTGAAAATCTGTATACCCGGGAACTGAAAATCTCTGAGCAGATATTAAAATCCGTGTAAGTATACAAGCTAGTGGAGGGATAACACTGTTTGCTTTTATAAAATATCTTTGATTACATGAATATAATAAATTGTGTGCATATAAATGTGTGTCTATATGCTTTCCTTTAAATATGTTTGAAAAGATGTTTGAAACTTGATTATACTATTTATAATTGGCACAGTACTTTGAATTATGCCAGTACTACATTGTAAAACAGAGTTGTATTTTTTGATATTTAACAATGCTTAACACTTTAAAATGCCACTTCTGAGGAATGAACATGGTGTGACACACTTGAACATGTGTGATGCCAAACTTTTTTAAATAAAAGATAAATAATGCCTATTTATTATTTTCTTTAGTTTAATCTTGGTCATGTTTTGGTGTGTATTTTTAATTTTTTTGTTAAAGTAACACTTTGGCATGAACATTACTGCAGGTTTTTGATGAATATAATGGATGTCTGGAATTCAACTGAATTTGCATGGTCTTAAGACATTTTTCTGTGTATAAATTTAGCTGCTGTTAACAGAAGAAAGAACTTCCTGTAAGTAGCCATTGTGCATCGATCAGATTCAACCTTTCTGAGCTCTTCAACTAGTCTCACTTTAAAACAATGACCAAAACATGTCTTTCTGGAATTATCTTTGAATAAAAGTTTGTATATTATTTGTTTCACAATATCCTTGAATTTTATCTGTTTGGTTTGATGTTAAGAAAGTTACTTCTTCAGTTTTTATGTTCTTTTATAAAGTTTGCATTTTCTAACCTCAAAAGTCCGTTTTTTTAATTTGTTGTCAAATTAACTTATAAGGCCAGTCGGTTAAGTCAGTAACTGCAGTCACTCAAAATTGTCCTTCAAGAAACATTAGCCAGAGTCCCATCTCCTTCTCATCTTCGACTTGTGCACCCATGTTCTCTCAGCTGCCCAATGAGTCTGAAACTGCTGGTCTTGTGAATCGCACTGGGGTGGAATCACTGTATTCGTGCATTAAGGCTGCACGGTTCCAGCTTGAGCCTAAGGAGACTGCCTCCAGTACCTCATTGTGGGAAAAGGGAACCATGCTTGAGTCGAGATTCTGGGGTTCTTATCCTGGCTTCTTTAAGGATGCAGCAGTGTGGCACATTAGAAAGCCCAGCAGCATGGAAATCAGATGACTCAGCTTGCATGCCCCACCCCACTGCATCACACACACAAACACTCACACACACACGGGTTTGCCAAGTTGCCAGCTGTGACTTTGAATACATTGCACAATATCTAACCTTTGTTACCTCTAAAATGTTGGTACTGTTGTCATAAAGTTGCCAGGTCTGAAAGCAGTAGTGCATGTTGATGGGTTTGACATAATTACAGCTGTTGTCACTCTTTGTTGTGTTTTCATTGTAAGGAAATCAGGGAGTTTGATGGGGGATAGAGCGGGAGCTGGTTACTAGCTGAAGGAGCCAGTTGTCTTCCTGCTGGAACCCTGCATTGCTAAAAACGCCCAGAGCTGGTCCCATGGCACAGGAGGTCAAGCCTCCGCCTGCGATGCCAGTCCCCTGTGGGCAGGGATTGAAGTCCCACTCTTCTGATCCAGCTCTCTGCTAATAGCCTGAGAAAACAGCTATAGATGGTCTAAGGCCTTGGGCCCCTGTACCCACACAGGAGACCTGCATAAAGATCCTACCTTCCTGACTTAGGACAGGCCATTTAGGGAGTGGATGGAAATTTTCTCTCCTCTTCTCATTTCTGTAACTCTGCCTTCAAATAAATCTTTTAAAAAAAAATCTTACCTCCTTTCCTGCCAGTTCAGCACACCCACTGTCCCATGGTGCACCTGAGATTTTTCCACTCTGCAGACTGATGAACACATGTATGCCTAGCACCCTGAGAGACCCCATGGAACCTTCCAGAGACTATTAACAACACCCTGCTCTCCATGTAAACTCCATTGCACTGGTGTACTCACAGCACCAGCCCCTGATCGATAAAGGGAGTGATCCAGATGAGGGTGGCGACCATTCTCTCAGAAATGACTCACGCTCCTGTCCTGAGTGTGTACCAGCTCTTTATAAGATAAGTCCTGCTGACAGTCTTGCTGCTAACCTACTTTGCATTCATGTTGCACAGTGAGAGAACAGCTTACGCCCACACCCCTATGCCCTGGAAGTTGAGATGCCATGTTGGTTTCATAATGTGACCCTCTACATATATACACCTGCTGCATCCTTAAAGAAGCCAGGATAAGAACCCCAGAATCTCGACTCAAGCATGGTTCCCTTTTCCCACAATGAGGTACTGGAGGCAGTCTCCTTAGGCTCAAGCTGGAACCGTGCGGCCTTAATGCACAATACAGTGATTCCACCCCAGTGCGATTCACAAGACCAGCAGTTTCAGACTCATTGGGCAGCTGAGAGAACATGGGTGCACAAGTCGAAGATGAGAAGGAGATGGTAAAAACCAGAAATCCTACGGCACAGCGTAGACAAGCAGAAGTTTGGTAACAGCCTTCATATCATTGCCCTTGGTCTCAGCCGTCACTGCTGTCGACAAGGGATAGATCCAAGACAAGCAGAACCGACAGGAATGTGCCTGATACCGTGCAAAAGGCCTTCCTCGTGTTACGTTAAACTCTCCACAGAAGTACTGCTTAAGAGAGAAGTGACGGGCAAGAGTAGGCAAATCAGGAGTTGGGCAGTCAGAGGCGGGATCTGAGCCCATAGGCGGGGCGCTGGGCAGCGGGACAGCCACGCAGATCAGTCTTCAGTGGGATGAGCAGTGAAGATCCAGTGAGCCCCCAGCAAGTGTGTGCTCGGTGGAGCTCGGCAGCTGCAGCCCTGATGAGGGAGACCTGGGTGGTCCTCACAGTACCGGGAGCCAGGGAGGGCTCTGTCACAGCCCCCAGGACAGCTCCCACTGCTCTCCATGGAGTGTGACCTCCCTGCCATCCTTGACAGAACATGGGTGTGCCAGAATGTGGCGTAAGCACACCAGGGGTGGGGGTCACTGAGGATTGGAGACCAGCCTCAAGAAGGGACTTGCTCAAGGAGGACGTGGACAGAGAAGGGAAGGAATGTTCTACCAGGTTAAGTAAGGCCACGGCCTTCCCACGGCGTATGCTTTTATTAAGACATCACACAGTGCATCACTAATTCAACCGGGGTGCGGGAGGGGGGCGTGTTCACTGGCTCAAATGGCTGCCCCTTCGGCAAGCCAGGAGCTTTTCGGGTTGTGATTGCATAAACTGATCTGCCGACAGAAGGCAGAAGAGCCTAGAGCTGGGGAGAGAACTGGCCGGCCGGCCCCAGGGATCCTACGCGGGGACTGTGTGTCGCCCAGGTCCCAGGCGAGGTCACCACCTGCAGACTCCTCAACCTTCTGTCCGCAAGGAGAGGGAAATGGCCATGACCCCTCCGGATCGCTGCAGGGGCGGACACCGCGTTTGAAACTGCCGGCCTTCCGCCAACCGACGCACTGAGAGGATGACCTCGCTTCACAGGACGGGGCGGGGAGGGACAAGGTCTCCAGGAGTCCAGGTCCAAGGTGGACGTGAGGCGGGTGGCACGCCCGCACACGCAGGGAGGTAGAGCGTTTACACTGTTTTCTTGCCAGGGTTTGGCCATGAGGATGCCACACAGGGTCAGCCTTGAGACGCAACCCTGAGGTGATGACGAGCCTCGGTCGGCCCTGGCGGGCCCGGGTCAGCCGCCGGGAGGAGGCGACGCAGGAAGCGCAGCTCCAAGGCACTTCCGGCGGCGGGTGTCCCCGGCGCGGCGCGTGCCCGCCTCCTCACGCCGTCACCCGGCCCCACGCCGCCCCGCCTCCGGCCTCACGCTGCCCCGCCACTGGCTGCACGTCCGAGTCTCACTATCCTCACTCCATCCGCGGAGCCAATGGCTGCGGAGCGCCAGGGCTGCGTCCGCGTGAAGTCACTAGCTGGGCCAATCCCCATGCCGAGGGGGCGGGGCGGCAGCCCTCACAGGCCAATAACGGCGGCGGGCGCCGGTCTCGCCCTCTAGGCCCCGCCCTGTCGCCTCAGAGCCGGGAGAGGTAGAATTCGCAGGCCGCTGCACCTGGCTGGATTCGTCTGAACGCGGGCGGCCAGCTCTCGGCGGGCAGGTGAGGGGAGACGGCGGGCAGGTGAGGGGGGACGGCCAGGGGAGACGGCGGGCAGGTGATGGGGGACGGCGGGGCAGGTGAGGGGAGAGGGAGAGGGAGAGAGAGAGAGAGAGAGAGTGAGTGAGTGTGTGTGTGTGTGGGGGGGGCGGACTGGCGGGGCAGGGATACAGCGGGGATGGAGAGGCTGGGAGAAGGTTGTGTGTGTGTGTGTGTGTGTGTGTGTGTGTGTGTGTGTGTGTGTGTGTGTGTGTGTGTGTGTGTGTGTGTGTGTGGCTGGCGGGGCAGGGATACAGCGGGGATGGAGAGGCTGGGAGAAGGTTGTGTGTGTGTGTGTGTGTGTGTGGGGCTGGCGGGGCAGGGATACAGCGGGGATGGAGAGGCTGGGAGAAGGTTGTGTGTGTGTGTGTGTGTGTGGGGCTGGCGGGGCAGGGATACAGCGGGGATGGAGAGGCTGGGAGAAGGTCGTCCCGGAGCGGGCTGCTGAGGGATGAGTAGGAGTTGGCGAGCTGGGCCAGCCAGTGCCCGGCGGGGAGCCTGCGGGAGGATGGAGATGGTGGGAAGGGGAGGGAGGGAGAGGCGTCTGCGGGACGCGGGCTGGTGCTGGGTTCACTCTTGCACAGGACGGACGCCGGCGGGACTTGGGGGCACCTGGGGGACACACACCGAACCCCGTTTCTTTTTGCTAAGGATCTGCTGTGCTTACTGTCCTGGGATGAAAAGAGAAGTGACCCTTCTAAGGCGTTGTCCGTCCTCTCCCCGTACTTCCCTCTCCCCCTTCGTCTGCCAGCCCTCCCTTGGTGCAGGCATTTCCAGCTGGCCTGCAGGTTTGTGGCACGCACTCTCCAGTTGAGTTGGAGATGAGAGAGCCTGGAACCTTCGCTCAGGATGGCTCAGAGGGCGGTGGGGCAGCCCAGCAGGTTGTGGAGTGGGAGGAGGGCTTGTCCACCTGTGGGCCATGTTGGATTATGATGGGGTGGCCAGAAGCTTGCCGTGTGGGGCGAGGAGGTGCCAGGGCTGAGCGCAACCCTAGTCCGTGGAAGGTGACAGATGTCGCCTGGGAACCCGGAGTGTTTTCGGGTGATGATCTGATCCGATCCCTTGAGAGTGTTGGCTGTGTCGGGTGCGAAGCGCCTCACTGTGCCAGTGAGACTAGACCGCAGCTTGCTGAAGGGCCAGGGAAAACGGCTCCTGCGGAGGGGCTTTTAAGAATTTTTTTAAAAAAAGTTTGTTGACATACAAGGCAGGCTGAGAGAGAAGGAGACTCAGAGGGGAAGATGTTCCATCTGCTGGTTCACTCCCCAAGTGGCTGCAGTAGCTGGGGCTGTGCCAGGCTGGAGCCGGGAGCCTCTTCATGTTTTCTATGTGGGTGCTGGGCCCAAGGCCTTGAGCTGGATTCTGCTGCTTTCCCAGGTGCGTTGGCAGGGAGCTGAATGAGAAGTGGAACAGCCAGAACTTGAACTGCTTCCTCTATGGGCTGTTGGCACAGCGGACATGTGGCTAACGTACTGGCCTCCCTTGATCTTTAAACCTCAATGTTTTATCTGTGAGATGGGGATGAAGACTGGTGCTTGGCCCTGTG